AGGAGACAAAATAGCAAGAAAAACGCTTCTTTCTTGGATGATCCTTCTGTGGTGTGTGTGAGGGAATAGTGTAGCTCCAAGATTTGGGAAGGGGTGATGGAAAAGGGGGTTACACCACTTACTGTACATGTCAACTTGCTCACTACACAACGGTTCTCTGAAAGGCCACATTTTGTATACTTGCTGAAGTGGAGTCTGCTGGCAATATGTAATTTGTTTACTAAACAGGGAATGTAATTGAAGTGTCCCTTTTGAGTTAATGAAAACATAAAACAACTTTCTAGAGTAGACCAAGGCCTCTAATTTAATTATCTCTGAGCCTCATAGATTAAAAGTATTCTTCCATTCATTCCTGGAAGCCTGAAGTAGATGAGTAACTGAAATTCAAAGAAAAATCTTATGAAGAGGAGACCTGGCAGATGAAAGAGCAAAGGGCCAAACAGTTTGTTAAAGGAATGATTTCCACTGAGATGCCCGTTGTCTTTACGGCAACTAATTATATGTGAAAACTTATAAAGATTTGGAAGCTGTGATACCCGTTACAGGGGTCAGGGGTTCCCTTCACCTACATGAAGAACAAGCTGGCTTGTCTTTGAAATACTGTTTGCTACGTATCAGAGCAGTTACTCTTTAAGGGTACATTGCAAGCAGTGGCCTTAAGCACATGAGCAATTGCTGGAAAACCAGCAGGAGCAGTGGTACACTTAGCATTGAGCTCGCTACATGATTATTTGCAGAGTTAGTCCTTCAGATCGCAGATCTGGCCCAAAAGCAAAGCCGGGAGTGATGCCGCCCCTCCACTGCAGAGCATCCAGGAGCAGCCAGAGCTCAGGCCCATCCTCAGGCGCTGGTGTGTCCTAATGCTGCGTGAGCTGGCTGCTTTATGCATCAAAGCACTTTTGCTCTCGAGTCAGCCAAAGGCTGGTGGACAAGTCTCTGTGGAGCTCCTGAAACATGGCGGCAATTCTGGCGCGCTTTTTGGCTGCCTTCACGTTTACTTCTGTTGCTGCCGCATCTATGTCACAGCAGCACTTGCTGCCCCAGCGGAGACCGTGCTGTCCGTACCAAAATGCATTGTTTTTTCTCAACCGCAAAATCTCCCCTTTCCCCCTGTTATCTTCCTCTGGGAGGGTGGTGGGGAGATCACAGAGAGCATCTCTCAAAGTTCAGTGTTCAGCCCAGCCTTAAACTTCAGTGCTGACTTTGCAGAGGAAGCCTGTGGCTGAGCAAGTTTTGAACGTAGCTCTCCTCTCCTGTCATCCCATGCCCAGCCATCATGCCTAGCCATCCCTGCCGCACATTAAATATTTTCTGAGTTTGGAAAGGTAAACCAGAGAGATGTATATGGGAAAAAGTGAGGTTTGCACTTCACGGGGTGAGGAACAAAGAGGTTTGTGAGTAACAAAAAGGATGCTTCACTGCACTTTAGCGTTTTGGTTTTCTATTAGAATATGTTCTCCCTTTTCAGGTTTGTACTTGAAGACTTTGATCTAGAGCCACAGTGTGTCTAAGGAAGAAAAAAAACCGTTTGCTTCTGGTGTAAACACTTCCCGCTTCATTGACTTGAAGCGGAATTTCACCTGGCAATACAAGCAGTGACCTCAGCTGAGATGTGCAGAATGTGGAGAGGGGGCACTGGTACTTGTTGCTTAGTCCTGAACAGCGCCCAGGAGACCAGCTGATTCATTTTATTGTGGTGGGAGATTTGGGGAGTACTGATGTTTCTTTTCTCTAATTCATCTAGATTTGATCTAACTTTTTTGATTTTGGAAAAGGGTTGAGTTTTAAAAACTTCTTTAGAGTGGATGGTGATTTTGTGTGTCTGCAGCACAGATCAATGCACTTTGAATTGTACGTGTGCAACTGGGAGCTGGAGCAAAGAAACTGAAGTGCCAGAATTCTGCAAACTTCTGGCTAAGAAGCTGGCCCTAACCATCATCCAAAACGGTGCCTCTGAAATGCGTCTCAAATGATACTTAAGTTTACTCTTACAAAAGTATTTTGTGTTTTCTTTATGATATGTCAGATTTTAAAAGCTTTAAACCTTGAACAAATCCTTCACTTAGCTGCCTGTAAGCAGCATGTTTTTTGCTTTTGTTTCGAAATTTGCTTTTGTAGTCATGTTTGGTGTGACACTTGCTTGATCTGTCTTAATTTCCCATGATGATTTGTTCTGAACGTGCCCTCTGGGCTAGTGGTGTAGTTGCAGCCTCTCTTCTTTCTTTGAAAGACTTGCCATTACCATTTATGGGACAGTGTGTTCTCTTTGACACTTTCCAGAAGTGCCAACTCCCTGTTGAACAGCACAACATCAGCTGTTAAAGCCTGAGCCAAACCCCAGCGAAATCAGGGAACAGTAACGCAATTCAAGGTTTTTAAGGAAAGGCAGTATCTTTTATTAGATCAGCTGTTACACTTGGAGAAAAACAGACAAGCTTTCAGGAACACAAATGCTTCTTCAGGTCTGAAATAGCAGCAGTATTGCTTACACCAGCATTCCTCAGCAGTGAGACAGCTACAGTCCCAGCAAGGTTTAAAACGTGTATTTAAAAGTGTGTGCCTTGCATGGCCATTCTGACTGGGGAGGGCTTCCTAGCAGGACACAGGCAAACATCGCTCTCCTCTCTCCCCTTCTCAGTATATACCCGACAAACAGGCGATGCATCCTACAGGGAGAGGTAGTATAAGCTCACTTATTCTTGAGAAAAAGTCTTCAATATGTATGACCAAGCTACATCTTCTCCATAGTCACCCTGCCGTTGGGAAGGACTGGGACAAAGCTGTGGGCTTTGCTGTGGGGGTGGCAACGACGAGATCCATACTGGAAAATCTGGCTCCTGTTGTTTACAGCTGTCCTGCAAATAGTTGTGGGACCAGCTGGCAAAATGAGTTTAATTCCCTTTCTTGTGGTTACTTTACAGGGAACGTTGTTTCCCAAACTTTCTGGAGGCACAGTTGACTGACCAGCCACTAATAACAAAGCTTGTGACTGAAAATGCTACACAGGCAGGATGGTTCTGCAGAGAAGCTGTGAGAAGCTTCTCTTAGTCTTTGGATTGCTTGTGGTCACAGAATAGATGAGTGAGAAATAACAGCCAAGTACGGTGCCTACTTACTCGTCCAGACTATGGATAGGAACATCCTGCTTTTCCATCCTGTGATAGACTTCATATTTATCTTCCTTTTTCTTTTCTGGAAATCTTCATGAGTATTTACCAGAATCTTTCAAATTAAAGAACTCAGGCAGCTGCTCAAAAATTAAATGTTAACATTAACTGTAACATTTATGTCTGTATTCCCACACTAGGAACTGGGGTGTTAACTGTGGTATTAAGAAGCTGAGGATGCTTTTTGCTCATGTGAATATTTCCATGATACGTGGGCTGCAAGAACTGTCTGGAGTGTATTAATAGGTGTGTTAATTATGTGGCTTCTCTATTCAGCCCTATTTGAAAATGAAAGGTTGCATTTCAAGAAACCATCACCACAAGAAAATTCTAAATAAGTATTGACGCTTCTGAAGTAATGAAAAGGATGAACCTTTTCTGACTTTAGGTTGATTAACAGACAGACGTGAACAACCAATGAGCAAGTCATTTGGTAAATAGGAATATGATTATCGGAGAAACTATTTAGAAGAAACCTCTTAAAAATTATGCAAGCCAAAAATCTTAGTTTAAGATCTGTTTTGGGCATGGTGTTCTGGTGTGAAGCTATCTTACAACTGTCTTGAAAGTCCTTAAAAGTTTAGAAATTTGTGTTTCAAGTGAGGTTCTTAATCTGAATCCATCACTTACAGCACGTTGTACTTAAGGATCTGAATCACCATTCCTGGCTGTGCCACTCCCAGCCTGGCCAACCTTTGATTGAGCCCTTTTATTTATTTCTCCACCCAGTGGTGTGCCCGGTGACACAGACCCATGGCAAGCAGGCTGGCATCAACCATCAGCTGACAGCTCTTTCTCTTTCCTAGAGAAGGTTTTAATGGAGGAGTCATGCAGACAACCGGATTCTCTGATGAATCTCAAAAGTGGTTTCATTCCCTTTAGTACCCAACCAAGATGCTTGAGTTTGCGTAACGGGGTTTCTTTTCCTTTATATAGACCTAAAGGAAAATAATGAATTTGTCTGTGGAAGACAAGAGCTTCATTCTTACTTGAAACTAAGATCCTTTCGTATTCCCATCTATTTTAAGAGACTTCTGTGCTGCCGGAGTAGAGTAAGTAAAGACTAGGATCTGTATTTGATCACCACAATGGTAGTTGTGTAGCCATGTGGACTACCACTTGTGTAACCTGCAAAGTATAACTCCACATCTGGATTATGCAGCCAGCAAAGGGCTCTGATGGCTCAGTCTTTAGACCTTTTCTGGAGACAGATTTGAACGCAAATCCTTCACTGAGTCAATGCTTCAGATCAATCTCATGTTTAGTTTGGATCTCTTTATAAATTGGCATTTGTAAAAGTGGAAGAACATTATGAAGGAAGGAGAGGTAAAGAAAATGTGAACTGCTGAGAAAAAAGCATCTCTTCCCAAACCACTATTTTTTAACTACTTGACACTCTTCTTTAATACTGATGATGTTGTGGATTTTTCGGTCATGAAAACAGAAACAGAAGCAGCAGTGTCCAGCGCGCAAGTTAATGTACCAGCTACACATGAATGGTGCACATTATATACATTTAAAGTCCTTTCATGCATACCATGGTTAAATAACAGCCAGTTCTATCTCAGTGTTCTTCCACTACTGCATTTATGGAGTAGCCTGTAGTACAGGAAGGCTGGGAATGGCGTGGCTGATGAGAGAAACAAGTGTCATTGCACTTTACTCCATTTCTGCTGCAGCTGGTTATAATTCAGGTAGGAGATACCAAAAAGCCAAAGAAATAAAACTCTCTTGTTCATTATTTTGTCCAGGACCTGACATGTTCACATCATCTAGCTTGCACAATGGTAGCTTTGTCACTTGCTGTTTCACTGAAACTTTGCTCTTTTACAGGTGCCAGGAGACAATGAGAAGCACTGGAAGCCAGTGCTAGTGGTCTTGACGGAGAAAGATCTCTTAATATATGAGAGCATGCCTCGGATGAAAGAAGCTTGGTTCAGCCCTCTGCATACGTACCCGCTGCTGGCCACCAGGTACCTGTGCTTTTTTATTCCATCGAGAGTGGTGGGAATGGTGGAGCCAGCCAGGAGCAGGTATAGCTGGTACATAGCTATATATCACACTTACAATGGCATGGTTTGAGAAGCAGATTTTCATTCAATGGGGCGATGTGCTCAGCTTAACTCCTGTCTTCTCCTCCATTTCAAGTTCTGGCTGAGGCTGATGGCCAGAAGCCCACCAGAAGGATTATGGATGTGGCCATTTGGCCCAATTCCAGAGAACAGGAATGTTGAAAAATCCAGGAGCTCAATCTACTGAGATTTCTATTTCCGGGTGCAGACCTGACTGCTTGGCAGAAATGCTCAGATTTCCAGATGCCCCCCTAGACTGAAAAAATCGATATATTGCCCTGAGTTGGACATACTGGTGTGGTGGTTCTGCATCGCCATTTTGGGGCTGTTGGAGGTTTGCAGATGTGATAGAGACACTTAATTTCAGCACGGCTTCTGTTCCTGCTCTAGCAAATGAATTCTTGGCGTTTTTTGTTAAAGTAGTGAGCTTGGAAGACGCATTCTTGAATCTAGGTTGGAAATAACCATCTGCATTGTTTCAAAGGTACCCATGAACACTAATTCAGAGGGAACTTTCCCGTGGTTGTCTTTGTGCAGTGGAAACTGTCTGTGCTTCTTGATGTGAATCTTAATCATGTTTTTCTGGCAGTATGGTCAAAGGGCTTGAGAAAGAGCTGCAGTTCCATTGTTTTGGCCTTGTTACAGGCCTCTATTATACCATTTCAATGAGTTCTCATTCAGAAGGGCTGATTGCACATTGCCAAAAGCAGTGGGTCTCTTACTGCACTCTCATTAGTTAATTTTTGTTCTGGGTCTTTAGTTCTCTCCCCAGATGAACTGAAGCTTTGCTGTTAAATCATTATATAAAAAGAAAAAAAAAAGTTGGTGAATTACACTGATGGTTGTTTTGTCCCAGTCTCCCTACCCATGATGGAGCTTTCACTGGGGAGCCAGCTTATGACTTGCCCTTTGTTACTATAACGTGCAGTGAGACCCCCAAGCTTTGCAGCTTGCAGTCTGTCACACGGTGTGGTGGTGAAGGTTGACTCTGCTGAAAACTGAGTGAGGTGTTGGAGCTGGAGCGTGCATCGTGGTGTATCGGTAAGCCGTAGAGTTTGTGAAGCAAGACCACCCCAGGAGAAGGTGATATGTCTCCTCCTCACTGCTTCAGGTTGTCTTTTGTACATGGACCCAAGTCCATCTCCCTAAAGTGACTGGAGATCCTGCAATGCACCCGGCCCCTGCCTGCCCCCAGATCATCAGTTACTCATTTTTTCTCAGGAGTTCAGATCTGATCTCAGACTTGCCTTGGGTGGGGATAGTCACCTCCCTGACTGATGGGATTCCTGTGTGAGTGGGAGAACATGAGCCTTCAGGCTGGAAGGGAATAAGTTGCTTGGCACAGGTGTCAGCCTGCTGAAAAGCCTTTATGGACTGGGAAAATGGCTTGTAAGAAAGACAAGATGCAGTTCAGAAAGGACAAGTGCAAAGCTCAGTTCTGGGGAATAATCAGTTGTGCTGGTTTGGAGTGGAAAAGGAGTGACAAAGTAGTTGCTGTGCCTGGAAGCATCTGGGCAGTGTGGTGAAATTACTTAAATGTACAATGTTATGGTTTTGAAAGAGGAATATCATCTTGGGTTGTAGCACAAGTGTGGTATGTTGGGCAGATGTAGTAACCATACCTGACTATAGAGCATTAGTAAAACCTCAGGTGATACACCACCTCCATGCGAGGCATTGTGCTTCCAAAAAGATGCCAGTTAACTGTGGAAAGTCTAGAAGAAAGTAATGCAAATAGAAAAGCTAGCAAACACTCTCAGTAGGGGAATACTTCACAAACCATAGTTGTTTAATGTAGAGAAATCCATGGAAAACATGCCAACAGTTTTCAAGTATGAAGATGAGACAGAAGGGTGTAGTGCTAGAGCCTGAATCATAGGCCCTGAACTGAAGGTGACCTATAGATGAACCTCACAACCCCACACTATATAGTACTAATCCCACATGTAATGTATTGATAATCTATTTTAGCATGTTTATATATATTCCAATGCCAATCTGTAAAAGCTTTGCCGTAAGACTAAATGTGTGGTGGGAACCAACAGGGTGAATTTTCTTTAGCTGAAGGCCAGGTGTGAGGCTGGGAAACGAGCTGCCTCTTGCTTTTTTAGAAGTCTGTTACAAGAGTGTGAGACCAGAGACCTGGCTTGGGTGAGAAATGTGTGATGAAGGACCAAAATAGATAGCGAGACTCCCTTGTACTCTTCCTTTAGCCCTGGCCAGGCTGTGGGGGGAATCCAATGGAGCGAACAACACCAGATATTCCCACATTTGAAGTTATGTAAGGTTGTTTATTTAATAGTATTAAAGCTGGACTCTCTTGCAGTGACTTTGGAGGTCTCACCTATGAGTGAACGCACTGCGTAGGACTTCCCAATTGCCGGGACGGTTCTCCAGAACCCTCCCTGCAACAGGGGTTGCCCAATAACTGCGGATCTAGATGATGGAATTAGGGCGATTGGAGATGTATCTTTCTTAATAACTCTCACTAAGCCTATATAGTAATGATTAGGTGCTTGTTCTCCTTGCTGCTTAAAACTAGAGTATAGTAAGCTTGCCTTGCCTTATTCTTGTAATACTTTGAAATAGACAGTCAAATAAGCTTACCCTTCTGTTGGTGCCTGTGTCCTTTTCTGCGGGACACCCCCACTCCCCGGGCCAGTTAGCATAACAAAGGGGCACAGGGGAGCATGTTGGAAAACCTTGGTGTGCGAGTGAGGTACTGCATTAGATTCTCCAGGACAGGTGTATGATCCTCATCACTGGGGACTCTGAAGGACAGGTGACACTGTAACCCTCAGGAGTGTGTCAGCACAGTTAGCCCTGCTCTGGGAAGGAGGATACACCAGGTGACTTCCTGAGAAACATTCCAGCCCCGTCTCTGTGATTTCTTCCTAGTATTGCTGTGAATTTAACACTCGGGTAAGAAGACAGCAGATACACAGAATGTGACATTGAGAACAGAGTCGCAATCTGATAAATACATGTAAATACATGAATTCCCAAGGTGAGCAGATTACATAAATTGACAGATTCCTCAAGTCATTACACCTACTGTTTGGGATGGTTTTGATTAAAACCCTGCAGGATCCTGCTTTTATGATCTGTCACACTGAGTACAGTTATATCAAAAAAATACACAGGGTTTGCTGTTGGTATTGACTGCTGTGTTCATTCTCGGTCAGTGATTACCCTTCTCGTGACGGGTTTTTTAATCCCCTCTGTGCATCGATCAGTGCAATTTAGAACTTTTCACCTGGAAAGTTTGCAGACCACATGTTGTAATCTTGGCAGCTCCCATCTTTCAGATTTTTATGAGTCCTTGGGAAAACATTTTTGCTTAGCTAATGCATATTTGAAAAGCTGCTGAAACTGTAAAATTTCAGTGCCAGATAGTGTACAAAGTCATGCTTAATCTACCCAAGACATAATGAGCAGAGAAAATTGGGAAGTGGTAGAAGGATTACAATCTTCTTACAGCATTTTAACAGCAGAATTTCAGCATGCCCTTTCTGATTGTTGATAAGTTTGCCTTCAGCCTATCTAAGACCTGAAAGTATTTTCTCGTCAGTCTTTCCGATCTTTATGTAGAATTGTACAGAATATAAGTAAGATCTCAAATAAAGCTGAGATTTAAGTTGTTCCTTTAAATCTCTGCACTAGGAGGCACAGCAGCTGGCTCATAGCCCTGACTCCAAGGACCTTTTTGTCATAATCTCTATTTGGGTGTTTCCTTATGCCTTCCTCTAGCATGGGAATGGAGCTTAAGTAATTACATCTAAATGTTTGCAATCAAATTGCGTTATCTATCATAAGCAGATATGAAGTGAAAGGAAAAAAATAAAAGGCAGCCCATGTTGGACTCTGATTAAAGATCAGGTAAGTAGCTTTTGTGTAAAGCCGAGGTCTGTAACCAGCAAGTATTAAAGCAGTTTTGGTAGATAATGCCGTGGAAAGTTTGGAAAGGAGTTTGGGCAGTGATTAGTCATCTGTGCAGGTGGGCAGAGGGGCAGGTGGAGAGCACTGGAGCCCCTGAGCACCCTAGGGAAGGTGTATGCGGGGCTGTGCAAGGTATACAAGTTCTCCACTTGTCTTTCTGGGGCAATGACAGTGGTTCTGGCTCCCTCCATGTAGAGCTCAGATGGATGAGGGCCTGTGCAAAGGTCTCCAAAGAGAACAGCCATTCCAGAGCAGGTTTCAAATGCTAAGTCAGGGTAAGGAGTGGTTTCGACACAGATGATAGTGGCTTTCTACTGGGCAGAGCTGCATGGCTGTTGATGCATTTGAATCAGCCTCTTCGGAGATAAATCTCAAATGAGCAGCTGAACACTTGCTTTGATTGTCAGCGCTAGCTTCACCCTCCTTTTTGAAGAAGCCATTAGATTTTGCTGCTGCAGTAAATGGTTGAATCTCTTTTCGTAGCACAAGGATGAGAAGCGGGTCCCGGTGCATCTCACCCAGCACCAGCGCTTCTGTGTTGGACTGTACCCATCTTGCTCTCACACATTTGCAAAGAATAATGCTAAAAAGGTCCCCAAAACATAGAGAGGCAAGGGAGAAATTGGAGAAGTTTAGAAGCGTCTCCCTGGCTCCCTGGAGCATGCCAGGAGTTGCATTTTACAGCCACTGCCTGTTGTCTACGTGCTATGCAAACAGACGGGATTGTGACCAACCTTCTCCTGCCCTCTTGCGGCTCCAGCTGCTCTGAGGAGGAGTTCTGGGGCTCCTGCGCCCCCACAGGCATCTCAGAAGCCTCCACAGAGCCCAGTAACCTTCAGGGACTGCAGGTGAATATGGCCAGAGCTGACTCTGGGGGGCCTTTTCAGCTGCGGGGTGCAGCGTGTGCCCTAGGTACAAACAGCCTCCACTGTGACGGGAGGTGAGGGTGAGGGAAAACCTTCTGTGAAGTTTCCGAGACTATTTTTTTTTGCCTTTTAAGGTATTTTTGTGGTCTTTAGGATAAAATATCTCTCATGTAAATTAAATGGCTCACATGAATCAGCTTTATTAAAGCTTGGGAATCTTTTAACCTGTACACAAATACATCAGTACTGACAGCTGGTATATAAATACCATCAAATGTTCCCCCGCAGTTCAGTTGTTTGTCCAGTTCATGTTTAACTGCATGGTTTTCCAAAGCATAATCTGGAGATGCATTATAGAAAAGGAGCTTTAAATAGTGAGACTGAATTGTTAATAATGAGGAGATAATGCAAATGAGAAGGCAGGCAAGAAACAATATTCCTGTTGGATGTGTCCACGTATTTTAATTTGTAAAGTATATCTTCATTCTATCCATATGCTGAAAAAGCTACAATGGCAGTGCTATGGATAAAGCATGAACATGTAGAGGAGTAAGGAGGGTGGCTTTGAAAGGAAATAAAACATTGGAACCATCCGGCTGTCACACACTCAGTAACACAAGTATTACAAAATCATTTTTAGCACAGCTGATGAGCACCATACAAAGGAGAAGGGATGACCTAGGGAGAAGCTGGAAGAGTTTTATTTTTATTGACAAACTTGATGTGATTTTCCAGGCTGCTTTCCTGCAGTCACCCCTGGTAGCAGGAGGCAGCATGAAAGCAGTGGCCGTGCCTGCACTTGGGTGACCCACCAGGGACAGGCAACAGCAGAAGTCATGGGAGATTTCAGTTCCCGGTCTCCTGCCTTAGTTATGAAGATGCAGCTTGCCCTCAGATTTTGCACCTCCTCATGCCAAATCAAAATAAATTAAAGTTTTTGAGCTGTTTGCTGCTGACTCCCCAACTGCAAAAATCTGCGTGGGGTGCAGGTAGGAGGCCTTGAGTATGAAAGCTGAGCGGGGCATTAGCGCAGCCCTTCTAGAGGCAAAAAAGCATTTGGGGAGGGTGGTAGTGTTTCTGGAAGAGGCTTTCCTGCCCAGATACAGGGCAGGCCAGCTCTGGCAGGGATACTGTGCATCTCGCATCCTGGGACCGGGAAATCAGGGCAGATGCTCAAAATTCAGAAATAAAGTTAATATGAATACAAGCACCAACAAATGTTGCAAACTTTCCAGCATGGACTGCCAGGGAACTCGGGAAATTTCAGATGCTCTGTAGTTCATGTTTCTATAACTGAAAAGCTTAAGTTGGGCTTTTTCTTTCCTTTCTGCCTATTTTGTTTTCTTTTCCCTGTTAAAACATCTCTTTTTGATGTCATACTTGTACAGTATCAGCTAACAGGCAACTATTCTTCCAGATGCAAAACAATAATTTGAGGATGAATCAGCACTCAGTAGATGATTAGTATAATCTAATGGTTTTTTAAACTTCAGAACAAGTATTCTGCTACCATGGTAAATACTTACTTTACAGTCTCATATGAAGTATGTTGTTTGCCTGTAGAAAGGGAAACAGGAGACACAAGACAGAAATAAGCTTTTCAGAAGAATTTCATTTTGTGGCTCCCTCTGAGGGTTGGCCTCTGGATCTCAAAGAGTGATGAGTTCTCTGGATTATTCTTTTCAGCTGCATCAGTGTTATGTTTCTGAGTGAATTCTCTATTCGCTGTCCCCACTTCTGCAGGGGAAAAAGAAACAACACAAAAACAACCAACAAAAGGGAAGTCTTAAAGAAGAATTAGATATTTTATGAGGGTGTTGAGACACTGGCACAGGTTGCCCAGAGAGGTGGTGGAAGCCTCATCCCTGGAAGTTTTTAAGGCCAGGCTGGATGGGGCTCTGAGCAGCCTGATCTAGTGGGGGATGTCCCTGCCCATGGCAGGGGGGTTGGAACTAGATGATCTTTAAGGTCCCTTCCAACCTTGACAATTCTATGATTCTATGATTATGAGGTGTTGATTTTTTCACTCAAAAATATTTGCTGCGATTAGCATTTGCCCAGATGAACAAATATTTCCTGATCACAGGAGATCAGCTGTTGATGCCAGGCAAAAAATGTTAATTGCAGCAAAATGTGGGAGAATTTCAGATTACAAATAGCTGCAACATTTTGCATTTTACAGGTGCCTTGTGGGAAAAGTACACACAAGACAGTACTTTGGCATCTGCATATTTTGCAGAACTTCTTTATCAAACAGCATTTATCATTGAGTTTGTCTGCGGGTGTTTTAAGCTTTACGGCAAATGTTGCTTGGCAGTGAAAGTTGGATTCAGCTGCCTCATCTGAGTGAGCACTTGTATCTGAGGACCAGATCTCATCACCACAGACCAATTGGTGATTTCTCTCAGTTCCTCATCCAACTAGTTGTTTTTTACAGTTCATTAGGAAATTTTGGCATGTCCCCATCATCACCTGCATGTCCGGCTGCTTCTATACTCACTGCCTTGGATCTTCACTCTTCTGAGTTTCAATAGGAGTCACTTTAGTTTCAGATACAAAGGAGATGTGAGTTCTTGTGCCCCCAACCATGTGCATTTAGGAACGTACAGAGCAGAGCCGTGCTCAGGTAGGGATTTTGGCACGGTGTGCTGTGTCAGCATTATAATCCACAGATGTGTTTTCAAATACAAATGCAGGTTGGTCCATTCCGGCCCAGGAAAAGGCTCACCACAGTCGGGGGTGGATTTGTCTTTCGCAACTCGTACTGGTACAAGGCAAGGGATTGAAACTCACCTGTTCAGGACGGAGACTAGCCGAGACCTCTCACTGTGGACAAGGAACGTAGTGCAGGGCTGCCACAATTCTGCAGAGCTCATCACAGAAATCACCACATGTGAGTAGGACCTGCGGCACCGCATCTCGACGCCTCTTTGTGACACTCAGGGGTAGTTCAACTTCCTTCAGGTAGAAGTGGTTCATATGAAAAAAAAAATAAATAACTGCATATTTAGGTTTCTATGTCTTTGAATTACTGTGCTCTTGGTTTCTGACACAGTCTCAGCTGCTGTAGTGCCTCTGTCATTGTGACTTTTAGTCTCGTTTTTGACATGTTATTTCAGACACAAGCCTGTAGTCAGCCATATAGGGCTGCATATCACAGAGGAGTGAGCGTCAGAGGTTGTCCAGAAACCCATGGAAAAGAGCATTTTTCTGAGATTCAGGAGACTCCTGAGGGCCTAGCAGGAGCTTCTCCTGCAAAGGGAGACAGAGGACAGGCACATTCACAAGTACAAACTGGTTATTTTTTCACCCAGCTCTGCACACTTGAGAAGAGGAAGAACAGACAAACCAGTCAAATAGCCACATTTTGACGGGTAGAAATTTCCCTCTGGGAGCGTCAGGGTATCACTTTTCAGCACTTCTGTACATGCAAAATTGAAAGGAATAAATGGCTGCAGATGCTCTAGAGTGATGCCCTGTTCAGGTAGCTGCCAGCCTGTGGTTGTTCTGGGGCTTTGGAGCTGTGCATTTTTCTTGAGTGCCCTCAGGATTTGTGAGTCCTTCCCCTGCTAGCTTTGCAGCTGGTAGGACTGTTAGAGTTGAACATTATCTCCACTTGTTACCTGAAATTGTGGGAGCAAGAGCCAAAGCACAAATCCACACTATGGCAAAGGCAGCTCCAATTTCGTGAAGCCATCAGGTACAGCCACACGCTGCCAAGCACGGGGACACCTGCCTGAGGGCTGCCAGACCCCGTGCCTTGAGGGGAGCTCAGGCTGCTTTGCGAGGGCCTCTGACATGGAAACCAGCCAGAGTGCTCCATGGGAACCTCCCTGTGACACGGATGCCTTACTTTCCAAAAGCAGGAGGAGGGCATTGGCCCCTTCTTTTATCAGAGTGCTTTAATCCCAGTGCCAAGGACCCTTCTTGGCAAAGTTACTCACAGAGAAATGGTAGCAATGAGAATTTGGGATATGAACCCCTAGATTCTTCATTTTTTTTAGTTTGGAGCGTGGCCTATGTTTCTGAGCTGAGGGTAAGACGCAGACTTTATGCTGCAGTAGCTATTGCATCCAATTACATGGACCCTTTTTCAATTACCATGGCACTAATGAGGACTCAGGAGCGTCTTCATCTTTGTCAGAATATTTTAGGGAAACCTTTTACAGCTTCTAATTTTCTCATGTGTTGCACATGTATTGATTTTAGCTGTGTCTGTCAGATGTAAGAAGAGTAGCTGTGACTTTGTCAAGGTTTGGAAGGAGGAAATGTCAGCTGGAGCCTTTTTAGACTTCAGTTTTTGTGTCAGCAGGTACACTGCAACATGAAGGATGCAGTGAATAACTGAAATGACTGACATCAGTACTGCTACTGCCGAGCACAATTTTAGTCTGTGCATTTACAGCATAACTAACATACCTTGCTCAGACCTTAAAAACAAAAAGACTTCTCTTATTTTTCCAAGTCTGCATGTTTACAGTTAGAGCGTGATTAGCCCAGTTTTAGGACAGGTTAGTTTCTGTAAGGTAGTGTTGAGATCAAATGTTAAATGCAGGTATCTGCAGCCAAATGGAATTTGATGCTTTTAAGAACGTTACAGACTAAATTTTGTTTCCTTCTTCAGCTTGCACATATAAAAGCCAGGAGTGTCGTTTGACCATCCATTATGAGCATGGATTCTCTCTTACAACTGAACCGCAAGATGGTGCCTTCTCTAAGACAATTGCACAATATCCCTACGAAAAACTGAAAATGTCATCTGATGATGGGATAAGGATGCTGTATTTAGATTTTGGAGGAAAGGATGGAGAAATTGTAAGTACTGCTTTTAGCAAGGGGATGCATGCTAGCAGTCCTTCATGCTGTGGGGCTGGAGAAGCACTAATGAAAGTTGGACTAGATGATCATCGTAGGTCCCTTTCAGCTGCAATATTCTATTCTGTTCTACTCTATTCCAATAACAGCTGGCCAGTACCAGTATTTAGACACCATGCTTCCTAGTACAGCATGACAATTGGGCTTTAGAGAGAGATAAACTAAAAAGAGAGATAAAATGGTAAAAGCATGCAAAGAGGGGTGAAAGATATCTCACATTTAAGAAAAAATTGTCTCTCTAAATAGCTAGTTGTTAGATTTTTTGGTACCATTTTTTAATAGACTGTGGGTAGAACAACTTAAGGATGAGATACTAGTTCCACCATACACGCAGGGACTTTATGTTATGACAGCAAGCTATGGTTTAGACAGTTTTGAAATCCAGTTGCTGAAAAAAATTGAAGACTACTGATACAGTGCAAACTGTCTGCTTAGGCTTCTAAGTTAGCTGTCACAATGCCTAAAAACAAGGTGCTTATTCCTATTTCCTTCCATAAATTATGCATGTAAACATGGTCTTTCCCATCAATTTCTTTCAGTAGTTACTGAGCCCCTTGGGTGGTTCATTCTTCACATCACCTTTCATGACATATACTTGGTGAATTGCTTATTGTCAGGCTTTCGGAAGGGAATTTTTTACTAGCTCTCAATAAAGTTGATACATGACTGGTGGAGTGGCAAATCTAGTCTGTTTTGATGTGAACTTGCTGTTGAACCAGCTGTCCACACTGACAAGTCTGTCATGCTTAGCAAGCATGTGGTGAGATCATCTGAACCATGACTGTGGAAAAAGAAGTCTCAGTTCAGTCTGACTGAACAGAGGAGCAGAGGAGCAACCACACTGAACAGAGGAGCAACCGTGCAACATTAGCCGAAGGTGCATCGTAGCCTCAGCAGATCCATTGGGTGTTGAACACAGGAGTTGCACCATCATCCCTGGTCAGAAATAGAGCCTCCAAAGATGGGGGGATTGAAGCTCTTAGAAAACTACTTGCAGCATCTGGCTGTTTTCTGCTGCTTACACAGGTGAATGCAAGACCAGAGGCACCAAGATCACAGAATCACAGAATGTTAGGGCTTGGAAGGGACCTTGAAAGATCATCTAGTCCAACCCCAATCTCATTTGCTCTCAAGATGCTTAGTACTTGCTTCCAGTAACCTAAAAATTTGCAGCTATATGCAAAGGAAAGACAATAGGTTGTAATAAAGAGTTGTTATTAATAGAAGCCTCTTACTAGGCAGCAGTTAATCAAGTATTCTGTAAATCATTGCTTATCTGAGCTGTAACCTAATCTAATCTCTCTCAACTTGATTTCTTTCTTTACTTTCAGCAACTGGACCTCCATTCCTGTCCAAAACCAATTGTGTTCATCATTCATTCCTTCCTGTCGGCAAAGATTACAAGACTTGGCTTGGTGGCATAAGTGGGATACATCTGTTGCTTCAAAGAAAGACAGCATGACCATGCTAATCTGAAGTACAGTCAACAGCAGCAACCCGTACCAGCTAGCAGCATACACTGGCTTGGGGTTCAGTACCGGGCCTTGGTCACTTCTGCAGTCTTCCAAGGCCCATGCTTCATTTTGATCAGCTAAAGAGGTGGCATGACAAGGAAAACAGTGGATTTTATTGTAAATAAGGGGATTTTTAACTCCCATATGAGACAGTAAAAGCCTGTAGTACCATACGTGTAAATGTTACAGAACCATAAATCGTGCCTATTGCAATGTACTCATTTATAAAGAATAAGTTAAGGGCTAAGCAGACGAGAGTGGGTGTTGGTTGTGGTGCAAGCTCAAGATTGTTTGACTAGAAGTTTCCCAAACAGCATTGTCCCACCACTCCAAAGTAAAATATTATTTCTGTGCTAACCTGTGCAGCACTTGGAGAAGGTTTTTCTTTTGGAGCGCCCTGAGAACCTGTTTCTTGAATGCCCAGCAGAGCATGCAGATACGCACCTCTGAGTGAGATGTTCTAAAGCAATGGCACTGTGGTCAGTGAACAGCTGGGGGGTCCCTGCCGAGAGGCGCTTTCAAACTAAACGATAATGACATCTTGCGCACTATTCCTAGCAATGGACCCAAAGCAAGACTAGCTGTAGTGATGTATTGAGAGCGAGCGGTCAGTGGGGCATAGGTAGGAGCATCCTTTGCTAAGGAACACACAGGTTCTATTTTTATAGTGACTTCTCAGATTGGCTTAATGAGTTTCAGCTACCTGGGATCCCCAGCTCAGATAAAAGTTGCCCGAATCTGTGTTGAAGTGTGACCTAAGCTTCTGCCAGCACATTTCCTTGGCAGTTTTCCAACAGAAAGCCATGCTGAGCTTCCTGTCCTCCTACCCCAACTGTGTCACCTCCTCAGCTCTGATGAGGCTGGTTGTGTGGTCTACACAGAAGAACAAATGGAGGGAAGGAAGGAGGACGACCTGATTTTTTTGGAGAGTTTTCTAGATTAGATCAGAAAAGTCATTCAAACAGCTCCACAACAGGGAGGAAATGCAGCCAGTCAGGAACATGAGCTGCACTGTCAGAAAGGTCTTAATTTGGAACTTGTTCTGTAAGTGTGACTTGGCAAGTCCAGATTTATTCCCTTGGTGAAATGAAGATGTTCACCTCCGTATGCATAACTTACTAGTTCCTGTTTTGCACCACAGCTGACTGTTTTAAGTCAAAACATTTGGATCACTTGAGTTTCAGCCTTGTTCCCAGTTACCTTGGGCACCAAGCGGGCAGCAGGCAGGAAGGCTGCCCTTTGTCATCCGAGATCCTACGCAGAGCTTGTGCCTAGAACTACTGAATTGGCTTCACGTGGTTGGGTGGCAACAGGCAGAAGCAGAACAGGGATGGCCCTTAGATTGCTCTTACTTTGTAAACAGAACTGCTTCATCTAGGGGTGGGTTTCTGTTTGCTTTGAGTTTCTCCCTAAATTTACACTTTGAAGAACAGGAGCTGAACAAGAAATAATAAATCTGAAGCTTGTGGAAGTTCAGTTGGCATAATTACATCACTTCTTTTGTTCTTGAGAAAGCACAGAAGTTTCAACTTGGCATCACTTGGCTGGCAAAGAGGAAAATTAAAACCGTACTTTAGTTCCATGGTTTTTTTAAGCAAAGTCTTGAGAGTTAAGCAGAAGTCATATTGTTTATTCACAGCACAGGAATTAGTCCGTGGTGGTTTCCATAGGTAACTTAATCATCAAAATTAATTAAAAAATAAAGATGGCAGGCTGAATTTACAAATACGGAAAATAATAATTGAAGAGCTAAATCACCATTTGGAAGAGCAGCCCCACGCCCAGCACCTCTCACCACTCAAAAGCAAGCCTGGGAGGGCATTCACCTCGCTGTGAACTTTGATTTTACTATCATGGTACTTGCACTTACAAATTAATGCCTCATGTAAATTCACAAGGTATGGGATAACATGTTACGTAACTTACCGGTAATTTCCAAATGGACATTTCTCATTTAGTGACCACTGCCATGCACATAACCTTCTCTGGCAGTTCCTTGGGTTTCTTTTGGCTTGGAAGCTTCCAGAAGAATGTCTTCTGAGAAGCTGAGAGCAGTCGGTACGCTGCCGGGACTGGGTCTTTCAGTATGAGCTCATATCGCAATGTCAAGTAAAAAATGTTGTGTCAAGTTTCTAAAAGGTGATTTGGGATGTTTTTATTGCTGTTCCAAAGTACAACTTAAAATTTTGGATGCAGGCTCCTGTAAAACTTCCAGAGATTAAAGTGAAAACTTGCATACTGTGGGGTAGGTTAAATACGTATGTAAACTATACTGCACTATGTCCTTATTCCTTTAACACTTACAAATCACTGGAATGTTATACTTAACATGTATGTGCATTGTAAATATTACAAATTCCTATATTAGTACCAACAATTAAATGACACAATATGTAATCTAAGGTGCTCAGTACTATATGAAGTATAAGTGAATAATTAAACAGTTTGCAAAGAAAATTCATATTATATATATTTATAGAAAAAATAATAATTACAGATGCTATTTCTTCATTTTCAGATTTTGGACTGATTCATATTTGGATGGGATAGACAAATGAAATATGGACCTACTCCACATTTATAAGAGTATAGTGAATATTTATATTTTAGAGGAAAAGAATATATTTAATAAAGTCATTTATTGGATTTTTGTGAGGTGAGCTTACTTTGTACCCAAAACAAGCTGTTTGGAAGGCTGCCCTTTGGTTCTCGGCTGGCTTAAAGTACATTTTGAACCTCAGCCATTCTGGTAAGAATTCGGTTACTTGAGAGAGATATTCATCATACCGACGGAATGACTTTTACAAATGTTAAAACTAAAAAAAAAATAGTATTAAAGTACTGTCAATGGCACATCAGTGCTTTCTGTCAAGTAAGCTCAGTGTTTGTGTAATAGCGGTGGTGTTGATGACAGGCTGAAAGTGTAAATAGGCAGCATTTTTTTTGCTGCTGGCATCTACTGAAAGAGCAGCGCAGGGATGTTCTGGGGCAGGTCGTTCAGACTCACCTGCTGAAGTTACAAAGCTTTCTCTGTTGCTTACATTTAACTGTGCAGTTACAGAAGTCATAAAAAAAAATTAAAACAATCAGAACAAACTTCTGCTCAAGCTTCTGCATTCAAGGAGTGAGGCCATGTGCCTTACTTAGTTCTTATGAATGGTTATGGAAAAAAAAGATGGTTTTCTTCCCTTCTACTTTAATTCTTAACTTACTGGCCCAAATAGAAAAGCTAACTGCAGGATTTAAGTTTGTTCTCTCAGTCTGACCTGAGATGTGGCAGACCAGCCTCAATGGAAATCCTAAAGAAAGGGGCGTTCTATAGTTTTCACAAAATACTGACTGTAAATCAGATGGTCTGATCCAAAAGCCTGTATAGCAGCTTCACCGTTAGAAAGACTTGGATACATATTGAAACGTATATGTCACTGGAAAAATGTGATATGTTTGTTTAAAAAAAAATAAAGAAAGAAAATAAAGCTCACGCGATAATGTTGAGGGAAGCATAGTGGTGTTTCCTAAGAGTTTCACTGTTTAAGTGGAACTAGCATTTCTCTTAAGTATAAATCCAAATAGAAATCTTTATGCTCTACCAAGCAAATCACTGCCATGAAAATCATTAGAATTGGTCTTTTCCATCTAACAAGTGCTTTCTCTTTCTGTGGAAGGTATTTATTTATTCTTGCCACAAGATACGGGAGCCCACTCCACCCAGCTCTTCGCATTCGGAAGTAAAGGCTGATCCAATTTCCATCTGCAAGACTTCTCGATGGCCTCTTACCTGGTTTAAAAGTTAATCAGAGCTTCTTTTGTTTCAGTGGAAGTGTAACTGAAGCTTAAAAAAAGCATGTGTTCCAGATTGTACTACTCATCAATTTGTTTATCTTTCTTATTTTTCAGAAGAGTCAAACTGGCAGATTTATAAGCAGCTGACTACTGGGGCTGCTTACTATATATATATATATATATATATACACACACACACACACACACACACAGTTACTATAGTATGTATTACATATTTTTATAGATATACTATTACTGTATATAATAATACTATACAGTAATTGAGAATTGTTTCTAAAATGGACACTTTCAATTCAGTGGTGACTTTGATTTTGAAAAGCAGATGTTACTAATATACTCACAAACTTGAAAAACTCAGCCTGCATAGAACCATAGAATGATTTGGGTTGGAAGGGACCTCAAAGATCATCTAGTTCCAATGCCCCTGCCATGGCAGGGACACCTCCCACTAGATCAGGCTGCTCAAGGCTCCATCCAGCCTGGCCTTGAACTCTTCCAGCTTCCACCCATTACCTCTCATCCTATCACTACAGGCCCCTGTAAAAAGTCCCTCCCCAGCTTCTTGAGGCCCCCTTCAGGTACTGGAAAGGCCACTATAAGGTCTCCAGGGAGCCTTCTCTTTTCCAGGCTGAACAAGCCGAACCCTCTCAGCCTGTCCTCATAGGAGAGGTGCTCCAGCCCTCTGACCATCTCGGTAGCCCTCCTCTGGACTCGCTCCGACAGCTCCATGTCTTTCTTGTTTGGGAGTTCCAAAGCTGGACGTAGTATTCCAGGTGGCAGAAGTGAGGGGCAGAATCACCTCCCTTGACCTGCTGGTCACACATCTCTCAATGCAGCCCAGGATGTGGTTGGCTTTCTGGGCCGCAAGCGCACACTGTTGGCTCATATTGATGATACATGTGAACCCCTAGATTAACCAGGGCAAAAAAAAGCATAAGAAGAAAAAACATTAAGTAACAAAGATAACCTCTTGTGACTGTATCAGCTACTTTTTCCATATAGGATGTTTTTCAGTTGGTTTTCTTCATCAGAATTTCTGTGTTTGTGTAAATAATTAGATGCATTAGAAAATAAGTCCAAGAGACCATTGGAGGGTTTGTGAATTTGGAAGAACATTTGTACCCAAGTTCAGTTCTGTTGTAGCCCAGTGATACTCATCATGCAATTGCTGTGATGCTAGAATAATCATCTCCCACATTAGAATAATTGCATCCACATTTGTGTTGTCTTATCCTGATCTTGTATAAGGACATAACACAGATTATGTGTAGATGATAAATGCAAATCGGTGAATGTTACTTCTATCCTGACTTGAAAAAACACGAAAGCAAGCACCCAAGCCTTCTACAGTAAAGCATGCAAAGGGCAGACTGGATTTTGGGTTCATCAGACACAAGAAGGAAAATAATTTGGAATTCAGTGGCAAAGAATGACATTACATCCTATATCACATAAGTTACACCACATTAGCTGAGCTGCAGGAACTCTCAGTGTGGGGTTTTTGAACTACGACAGTTGTATGATAATTCAGTTTAGCACAGTTACGGTAGACCAGGTCAAATTATTTTGCATGCTTTTTTTTTGTAGGTTAAGAACATGCACAAAGACAGTTATAACAGCTCGAATGGGGCACAGTGTTATTAAGCCATGATAATAAACTAGCTATCACTTACCCTATAAAGATCCCCAAGACAATAACAAAGTGCAAATGAGACATAGGTAGCACTGTATTGGTTCAGCACCAGGAATCACGCAAGCAAATAATGCAGCAACATGCTTATGTTTCCCTAACTGCTTTCCTGCCGATTGTTTCAGGCCAGCCTTTGAGCCTACAAAATTAATTAAAACAATAACCATTGTGTTCTACTTGCTCATGAACAAGATAGATAGTATCAAAAGGTGTGGGACAACCACTGGAAGAGGGCCCAGCCAGCACAGGTTCATGAAAGGCAGATCCTGTCTGACCAACGTGATCTCCTTCTGTGACCAGGTCACCTGCCTAGTGGATGAGGGAATGGCTGTGGATCATGTCTACCTGGACTTTAGTGAAGCCTGTGACACCATCTCCCACAGCATTCTGCTAGGGAAGCTGGCGGCTCATGGCTTAGACAGGTGGGTCTTTGCTGGGTTAAAAACTGGCTGGATGGCCAAGCCCAGAGAGTCGTGGCGAACAGAGTTAAATCCAGTTGGCAGCTGGTCACAAGCAGCATTCCCCAGGGCTCAGTTTTGGGGCCTGTCTTGTTTAATGTCTTTATCAAAGATCTGGATGGGGGGATTAAAATGCTCTCTCTGTAAAGTTACAGGTTACACCAAATTGAGGATGACACAAAATTGAGCTGGAGTGCTCGTCTGCTGGAGGGTAGGAAGGCTCTGCAGAGGGACCTGGATATTGTGTTCAAAAAGCGTGTAGACGTGGCGCTTGGGGACTCATTTTTGTGGTCATGGTAGTGTCAGGTTGACCGTTGGTCTTGATCTTGGAGGTCTTTTCCAAACTTGATTCTGTGAAATCCAGGGCTCACTATGGACACCATAGAAAGGTAAGAGAGGAATGACAAAATAATAAAAAATAATGTTTAAACCCCATCTTTTTATAGATCCCTTCCACAGGTACATACAGATAGTTTATCATTAAGAAAGCGAGTTAATGAATATTAATTACTTTCCCAAAAGGGATTTTCTTTGTTTATGATAGCAAGCCACAAGTATTTAACAAAATGTAGAGTTTCTGTACTTTTGCTTATCAACCTGTGCATAATTTTTAACTACAATTCTTTTTGTAATTACAAGTAAAAAAACCCCCACGAAATTAAGTAGGAAATTAAACCTTCAGTGGCTTGCTTTAGTACTTGGACAACAGAATCAGTATTCAGGCCGAAGACAGGAGATTAACTTAGGCTTTTCTCTCTCTGTTTGAAAGTAGAGACTTTCCTTACTCAATATTGGATGTTAAGGAAGATTAATATCTTGATTAACTTCTTGGTTTCGCTCTTGAATGCAAAGAAACGTGAGCCATACACGGTAACTAATACATTGGAGCAATTCCGTGCATGCACTTATTCAAATATTTAAACATCTACCTTCCCTGCATTTCTGTTTCATCAGAGCAGTAAAGCCTGGATGCTACAGACACGTGGCATTTTGCGGACAGATGTAATCCCACTCTCAAAAGTTGTGTTTGTCCTGGGCTAAGAAGCCACCGTACTCACTAGAGCCCACTGTCACCTCACTTTCCTCCTGCTGCTCAGGACGCAGCTGGAGCAAAGTACACCTGCACACAGAAAAGGTCTCGGAGAGCTCAGGAAGTGATACACATTGGAACAATGGCGCAGAAGAGTTAAGTGCTAGATCCTGTTAGACACAAAAAAGCCTCCCCAGGGCTTGGCTCTACACAAAATAGAATTAAGCAAAGAGTAAGTGTTACAAAGTTAGGAAGGTTCTTTATAGAATGAGTAGATTTTACAGTATTAAGTTTCACCTACACACGGTCAAGTTCAATTAATTTTTTCATAGTATTACATTTCATTGATATTAGTATTGCTTAATCCATTTTCCTTCCAGGAGAACACAGCAAAACAGTAACGCTGCATCTCTATCAATTTCACTCATGTCAGTATTTTGTTGAGGAGTTCCTACTGAAACAAATATATTTTACAGCTTTCACTATAAGGCTTTCCTATTCATCGTATAAACTAACTTGAAGTCATTACACTAGTACAAGCCAGCTGCATGCCTGACAAACAAATTGAGTATTTTACCGTGCTTCCAACTCCAGTAGAAATTATACTTTCCATTATGTTTCACCATAGCCAGCCAGCTCTTCCACGGCCCTCAGAATCATCATTACTGCTATCACTTTGATTCTCTCCTCCCCTGTGGAAGGAAATCTCAGAACTTTATTATGAATTGTTTCTAAGCCGTGTTAGAAAAAGTACATGTGAAATTGAGCTTGTAAAATAACGATCCTTTTTTAATGAGTCCTTGTTTCGAAAGACACGGGGTTTATGTTTTGTGTTGGTTTTTTTTCCTTATACTACAACACAGAGATAATTTTGACTCAGGTTCTAATTATGTTTGCTTTCTGTTGGAGAATAGGAACTCTTCTTAATTATTCTCTAAAATGTCAACGGCCAACACTGTACCCAGCTGTTTAAACAACAGCACGTAGTAATAAATAGGAGAGGTCTTCACGCAAAATGGTAAAATGAAGTAGTTTTGTTACTAAAATTATATCTGGTAGGCTTTTTATTCACATAAAAACAAAATATACTGGTTGAAAAACATACAAAGCTTTATCAAACCAAGTCAAGCTATAGTCCTTTTAGCAATGAAAAACAATAAATAAGCATATTAAAAAAAAGCCTTTTTCATTTGAATTTTTTAAAAAATAAAACTTTCAGTATAAAAAGTTTCAAAACATTCTACTGTGCTTAAGAATTAAGCCTATATAATTACACTGACCAAAGTCCTTCTGGTGTGTAGATGTATGTGTGCGTGTTAGGCAGTGTAACACTTTTCTTACAAACTGAAGTGCTCTATCCCTGCAGTTTCTAGGAAGGTGTGAACAGCACCCATGTGATACCACTACTTGCCAGTCTTCTCCAAAACCCATTCTATCACCTGGGAAAATAAATGAGAAAACAAACGATTTACATAACTACGAGTCTGTAAAGCAACGTACAAACATCTCGTACACTTTATCAATTTTTTAGCATCACCTCTGTGGTACTTACTAATGGATTGAAAAGTAATCCATTCAAAAGGAGAAAGTGTTGTTAACAGAATCATAGAATGCATTGTATTGGAAGAGATCTTTAAAGGCCATCTAGTCCAACCCCCCTGCAGTGAGCAGGGACATTTCGAGCTACATCAGGTTGCTCCGAGCCCCATCAAGCCTGACCTTGAACATCTTCAGGAATGGAGCCTCCACCACCTCTCTGGGCAACCTGTTCCAGTGTTTCACCACTCTCATCTCCTAATGTCTTACCTAAATCTACCCTGCTCTAGTTCAAAACCACTGCCCCTCGTCCTATCACTACAGGCCTTGTGAACAGTCCCTCCCCAGCTTCCTTGTAGGTCCCCTTCAGGTACCAAGAGGATACAGCATTACACAATCTTTAGAAAAAGGCATTTTTAGGTCCCCTGAATTGAACTACTTCACCCCACTCTCTCCACACACTCACCACACGGTGCACACATAGTGATGGACAGTGTTTCCAGCGCAAAATAATTCCTGACACCAGAGAAGAAAGACTGAAGCATGATTTGTGCACTTTATCACTGCCTTTTCGCAAACAGGGCAGTTGTTCAGAAGACTGACTAGTCCCGGGCAATTATATTTTTTATGAAGTAGTTCCAAAATATTCTCCAGGTCAGGGAGAGGTAGCCCGCTTAAGAGATCCCTAATTTTAATGCCACTTTGCCAACAGCAAACACACAGAAAAATACAAGTTGCCTCCCCAGACAAAGGCAGTGGTGACAAAGAGTGTGTGAGCACAACATCCCAATTCAACACCAGACAGCACAACCCATGTTTTTGAAATCTTGTGATCTCCAGGAAGCAATTCACAAGGGAACAACAGTACACAACGCAGTAAATAATGCTCTCATACTATCTGGTGCATCTGTGGGGATCCAGCAGTTTTCCTTGAGAGTTTAACTATCCCAAATCCTTCCACTTAATTTGAAAACTGTACTGTAACTATGCAGGATTTCTTCTTTCTTTTTCAACGATGGAGTCACTTCAGCATGTTTTCAGGATTTAAATTAGAGTTACTTAATTTCTGGAGGAGTATTTATTCCTGCCGTTTGCTCTGTGCTACTATTCACATAAATTCCACTTTCCACACAAATAAGCTCATCTGATATGCCCTGTGCTTACAGTTATTCCCAAGCTTAAAATTACTGATATGCATTGCTTCTTTTCAGAAATCTACTTCCTTCTATAGATCCCTTTAGTGCTTCTTAACCTTTGAAAAGAAATGTTATTTCCTTCAACACAAAGAAAGAAGAATTCCCTAATGATCCAGGCTTCTCTCAAATGAAGAAAAATCTCATTTCATTTTTTTTTTATTTTATCAGTGATGTGGAAACATCTATTGCCTTCATTTCCTTTTCTCACCAGCTTGGCAGCTATAGCTAGAATACGACCTAAAACCTGAAAAGATGCAACTGGAAATTTTGCCATGGGACAACTGATGGAAAGTTTTTGTGAGATCAGAGAGTGAAGTGAACCTCCCAGCCAAAGAGACCATCTCTTCACTGCTTAAAGCTGTGTACTAAACCACCCTATGACCAAGCTGCCACAGCTACATTTAGCCTTGGCTAGTTACAGGAACAAATCAACGAAGGGTCTCACCTGTTTAGCATTGTTATTTGCTGTTTTCTTCATTTCATCAAGAAGTCCTCTAGAAGTTTTAAGATCCTAAATATGAAACAAAAAGCCATAGTATCCTAAATATGAAACAAATTCATGTGCTAGCTGTAATTTGGATTATAAGAGACCTAATAACTAGGGGAGTGTTAACCTTTTACCAAGTCAGTACATGTTAGATAGTTGTGCATGTTTACAATGCATTTACAAGGACACCTCCTTGTCACGGGGGAGAAGCCTGCGTGCCCTCATGAGGTTGCGAGCTGGGCTGGCGGTGGCATATACCTCCAGTAGGGTCTCCCACACCAGACAGGTCTCAACCGAAGGGTCAGACTGTGTACCTGGGTGGGATGGGCTCGGTAGCCTCCCAGCAACCATCCTAGGAGAAGGACAACTAACTCCAAACCCGGGCAGATGGAGCTCGTTTAGCCCTGTAAGGCCATCCATCTAAGAGAAGGATACTCTAACTAAACCTACGTCCTGAGGACTTTGCTGTCACCGTCCAAGCTCGCTAGGCCCTGGCACATGAAGTTTAGGAGTAAAGGGTGGGGCCAGTTTTGCGCACACTGAGCCTCACCTAAAAACTCCATTGTGCAGGCTTGAAGGTTACACCCACATTTGTAAAGTCCTGTAGCAACAGGCAAGGGAAAAAAAGGCCTGTGATAAGGTGCATTGGAAGCCGCAGGCCCAACCCCGCATGCAGGCGGTTTAGGACATTGGTCGCTCGAGACTGACCCCAGAGATGACGGTCTTGTTCGGCAACATCCTGAATGACCAAGCAGCCTTTTTCAAGGAGAGCACTGCTTGCTCCACATGGAGGGGGGTCTAGAAAAGGTGGCCTAAAGAACCGTGCCTCACCCATACCACCTAAGGAGACTTTCCACTGTACCTTTTGCAACCGGACTTGCCTATCCTGCATCGGCCTTTTTAGCCGTCAGCGCGCTTGTAGCAAGCGTGGGTAGAGCCCTTCCCATATCTTCACTCGTGAAGCCTGGCCACGACTGACTGACTGGCTGACAAGGACTTCTGTGAGTGTGTGCTACAATTTCTCAGCCAGTTGCGTAAGCTGCCTGTTGAGCCAATGGCTTTAGAACAATGGAGAAGCTGAGCTGTCACAGCTATGTCTGGGAGGTAGCTACAACAGCTGAGGAAGCAATATAGTATAAGCATGACCTTACCTAACAGACCACTGCTTTGACATGTTATCTCACAGAAAAGACTACTGCTTTGCAAGGCTTAAAAACAAATAAACAACCACCAAAATACACAAATCTAAAAATACGTAAGTCTAAAAAGTTTATCCAAGTACTCTATGCTAACACACCTCTAGGAAATGTTAATCAAGTCTGAATATCACACAGTCTATCTCAAATTTTATTAAAAAATGGATTCACTTCACTAAGAACAAACAATCATAAAATGTGTCTTCTAGTTACCTTTAGGTAGAACTTTGATATCTCAAATAGACGCTGGCTGCATGATGCAAAGCACTTGTGATCCTCTGCAATTCCATGTTTTTGAAGAGTCTTAGCAACCACCTCCTTCAGCATCTTGGAAAAATAGAAATGCACTCAAAGGTTCATCCCAATTATTGGTTAAAAAAAAATTGTCCAAGGGAAAAAAACCCAACACACAAAACCCACCACCTTTCCTCTTTTGATCTTGTCTCTGTCACTAATCCACTAGCCAAAGGCCAGTGACCAAATCCACTGACCAAATTTGGGCAGTTGTTTTTTACCATCTATTTCCATTTCCTTCATCTCAAAAATTAAGGATAAGCAATGTAAAAGAATCAGTGAATATTCATTTAAGGCTTGGAAGACATAAAAAAATTATTAAGTCTCGCGGCTTTTTCTTCTCCAAAATACTATATACGTTTATATATTACTTTTCTTTATACTGATTGTCTTGTTTGACACATCCATATTAAAAACAATTTTTAAAAAATCAGACACTACAGTCAGATGAAAAAATTTACTTTGACATCTTTATATCAGAGATGTTAAAACTTGGCGGTAGGTCTGAATGAGTCACATCACTTTACACTGACTTGGGTCAGGCCAGCTTGCCTTTGACAGTACGACATCAACATTCATACAGTGTCCTCTCTAGCACTCTGAGGTTAATTTAAAATTATTATCACCAAGCCAGAAACAGTTTTGTGTGCTGTATTTTAAAAGTGACATTCCTAATGTATACAGCTATTAAGTAATCATTATTGTATTGAAGTATTTAAATATTATCTCAATTAACGGACTTGTACAACTACTGGAATATACTTTAACTCTCAGAATAGTCCACTCTTCCACATGGCTTTGACCCTTCCAGCAGAGATATTTCTTTGGTGCCTTTAGGTTTTACATTAATTTTCTACATTTCATATCTCCAATTCATGGATATCCATTCCCATCTTTTTTATTCCTAGTTGTTATCTCTCCCAGGGAATTAATCAGTCTTAATTACTTGGACATGATATAATATGCCTTACATACTTTTTCATGCCTTATTTCTGCAGCACTCTCCTAAGTGCCTTCAGGATTCACTTCCACAAGTGACCAGAATGAAATTAATAATAACAAACAGAGGTTAAGACAGTTTACTTTGAGTTAAAAAATAATAAAGAAAAAAAGAATCGTCACATGGAAAGAAGTTAAGCAGATGCTTTTTCACTAACAACACAGATCTTTACCCTTGTATGTTTTTGGGATCTTGATTCCTTCGCTGGCTTTGAAGTCTCAGACTCCGTTGCACTGATGTGACTTGCTGAGCCAACCGTAGTGGTTACTCTGTGGGGCTGACCCAGCTGTTTTGAAGGCACAGAAGCTAAAGAAAGTGATCTTTCGGAGCGCTTCCTCGTTACAGCAACTGTATAGTGACTCCTGCTGATTCCACTTGCCTGAGAGAGGAGGGAATCTGTACTCTCAGATTTGGTTAGCCTGGAAATAAATAAATAAGAAATAAATAAAATAAACTTTCAGATTTTGTACTGGCTCTTTCAATGCCGTTGTTTCTGCTACAGAGGCTGCTGCTAAGAGTATTAAGTTCTGTACATTCTTGCAAACTGCATCTGAAAACAGCAGACAGGATTCTACTATGCAACATTTTTTTAATCAGAACACTTCACTAATGATTTGGTCTCTGATATGGTGATCCATTACACCTCTGATTAAAAAGGTCCAGAAATGAACTGAAGAAACAAAGTAACTACAAAGAAACTCTTTGTAAAAAGAGGTATCTTTGCATATGGACTCTTCCACACAGATAGCCAGCAAGAGCAGACTGCTGGCGTCCAGTCTCAGGAAAACACAAAACTTCTTTAAACTATCTAATTTATTTCAGCCCCAGAGGAACGTCACAACTCATCTTTAATGATGGGAAGTTGAGAGCTACAATTCTACTGGAACATTGTAATGTTTGATCCTTCAACTGTAAGAGCACTAGTAATTCCAAAACTCCAATTTATGAAGAGCCAAGTACAATTGCATCTTCTTTTCTAACTAATCAGTAAGCTGCAAACCATAGTGATATTCCTCAAACCATACCTCCGTTAAAGGCTTAACTGTGATTAGATTGCAAAGGGTGTCAAACTGGAAGGAAGAAGTATTATATTAAAAAGTGAATTCAGAAGTAGTGTCACGGAGCAGCTACTTTCTATTAACACAAAGAGTATGCATCTTCAGAGTGAGGACAAGGTACAAAGGGAAGTCTTAAAAACTAGACTTCCAGAAAAGACTTTAATAAACAAAGCTGACAGTAAGTTTGAATTTTGGTAGGTCATCTTCTACGAGAAGTCCTTTGGATTATAAATTAAATCATTCTGTTTGTACCATGCTTGGCTTTCTAAACCTTTAGTTGTTTATTCGTACTGCAACAGCACTGACAGTTTCAGTCCTAGATGAGGCTCTGTCACCTTTTCAAAGGCGTTTAAGACTTTACGAGACATAATCCCAAATCTCTTAAATAAAAGGTGTCTGAGCTGCAGGGTTTTGATTAATCTAATGCTATCAATGAGAGGGCACACTTGTGGAAAAAAAAAAAGAACCTACAGAAGAGGATTAAACAACTAGAACATTTGTCTAGGTAGCTTCACTAAAACCGTTCTGAGATGAAAGAAAAGTTGCATTTCACAAGAGACTACTGAAATATTTCACGCTAAAGGTTTATTTCATGCCGTGCATTACCTTTTCTTGGGATAAAAGCAATCCAAGTCTTTTGATCTGCGTTTTAGCCTTGATGCCTCTGTTCTCAACTCGCTTTGTAAAGACTCCCCATCAGGGACACTTCCAGGCTCTGACAAGACTGCGGGAGATGGGAGAGGGCTCAGGACAATGGGCACAGGACAGCACTCTTTGGTGCAAGTAGTCTGAGTTTCATAGCGAATAAGACGAGATTGAAGTTCAGCATATCCCACATCTCTCTCTAAGGCTCTTCTGTTATCTAGACAGTACCTAAAATTGAAAATGGGAAGAAATCTGTGTAAGAGTCTCTGCTCTATCATGAGGAAAAAAAAAAACACAACACAAACAAAAAAATCACACCAAACTCCAGAACAACTTCCTTTTGACTATCATATCATCTCCCAAACTTTTTTTGTTTGGACTGGTGTATTATTCTGAAAGATACCTTAAAAGAGCCCAGTAAATTAAGACGTGCCTGATGGATTTAGCTACGTTTAAGTCTAATGAAGAAGCTTAATCATATCCTATTTGTAAGATTTACCCTGTGGTCTTACGAAGATTTCCATGGACACAAGCAGAAATTTTTCACTGAATGGTAAGTGCTGGATGAGGATGCTGACAATGGATTTTTTTGTTTCTTATAGTCAGGCCTGTGTTACATTTATATCATCAGTTTTTCTGCTTCTCATATTCAGCCCATACTTAACAGATGTTACGTCTGTTAACATGCTAACTAGTGTGACATTCCGATAAAACAGCGATGAGGATAACTCTGAACCCAAACGTATGATGAGCCCAGCACACCATGATGGACACAGTACCTTGAGACTGCAGATCTTGCAAGTATCTACCAAAACTTTGAGACTCAGAAAATATCAGGTTACTCTATACAAAATGATACACTCTAATATGATAATATGATTGTAAAAAATGCCTCTGTTTCTTCCTGGGACAATGTAACTCTTGTAGTCAAAAAAACCCAAACAAACAACTTAATATTACTTCAGTGCATATGCCATAAGAGAATCACAGAGGAAATGCCTGAAGAAAACATCCCAAAGTGCAATACACATAATTCGCAAGCTCTGAGTGCTTCAGGAATCCTTGAATGCAACAGTACTGACATAATTTCAGGAAGAGCCAGGTGGTGCCAAAAACTAGGTTGCTGTGAGATTGTACTACTTGAGTGTAACCATGAGAAAGACAGGGCATGGCAAGTGCTCTAAATGCTATTTAGTATAGATATTTTCCTAACTGCACTCCTTAGAATCCGCAACCTTTAGCTTTGTCCAAGACGAGCACTGCTAAATGAGACTCACATTTTTTAAATGCTAAAAATTACAGAAGTGTCGCTGAACGAGCGTGAGGTTCCCAGCTTCCCATTGATTATAAAGAATAAGTGGTTTAATCACCCCAAATCAAAAGAAACTGTATTAAATATGGTGGAGCTGAAAGAACAAATGAACAGAACTAACTCAGTGAAACCTGAGATTACAACAATACAAAATGTTAAGAAACTAACTTTCCTATTGTGTAAATCATTTCCAATATTCCTTTTAAGAGACCACTGTCTTGCTGCCCAGTAACTAACATTACCTCTGCAGGGAAAGACAAAAGTATCATCCAATTATTTCCTTAATAAGTACTCTGAACAATGGGAGCTCTCTCTCAGCCCACCCTCCCAACTACTTAGCAATGTTTCCTACTCCTAGGAACTCAGACTTGTTCTTTACTTTCACTTCTTAACATGGAGCCACGTTAAATTGCTAGATCTAACTTTTCCACTTTCTTCAGGGTATTTTCATATTCAGGGTGAAATTCACTTTTCTAATAACAGACCAGTGAATCCATTTCTACAGCTGAGTAAGACTTTCCACAAGAAATAAATTCATTATCTGATAAGAGTAAGTTCTCTTAACTTACAAATTTCAAGGTATTTAATTTTCCTTATTTATATTCTCAGTCCCCTGAGTAATCACATCCCCTACAAAGATAAAAATGTTTTTACCATTAGAAGTTAAATTGCCATTTTACTCGCTCTGCTTTAACAGCAATTACTTTCTCTTTGCAACACAGGATTCAAGTGTTTGGCACAGGTTCATTACACCAGAAATTTGATTTAATCATAGCTGTTACTCCTGGTTTTGTTGACAAGACTTTACTTCCAAATGTAAATACACTAGCTATGCAGATGGAAACTGCAATCACAGCTGCGTGGTATGAAACACATCTGCTCTGAAAGACTAACAGGATGCTCTGGCTATGGTATATCCTGGCCGTTCAGCTGTAAGTCTTTCGTTTCACATCACTTTCTACCAGCTTACTCTACTGCCTCCCTCATTATTGCTCATGCATTCCGCTTGTAGCATTAACATGCCAAGGTCTCCCTCCTCTCCACACTATTCAGGCCTCTCTGGTCTCTTCCTGTCATATTTTGCCATGAGAATCACAGAATTGCCTAGACTGGAGAAGACCTTTAAGGTCATCAAGTCCTGTCATTGACCTAACACTGACAAGTCCTCGACTAAAGAAGAGGCAGCATGAGCTGTGCTCTACCCAATTTGAATCCCCATGCACACTCCCAGCTGAGGTCAGGCAGGTCAGCAGCTACCATAGAACACAGACAACGGCCAAGTGCTCTCTTCTCACACCTGGGAGGACAATCCTCACTGCTCCAACCTACCTGGTTGCCTCTCTGTGCCTCTTGTTACAAAGCTAAAAAGGTTAATGTGCTCGCGAGTTAGCTGAACATACAGAACGGCTGCTTCATTCCCCTAAAGTGGAGACACGGTCCCTGGAGGTGTTTAAGGAGAAGCTGGATGTGGCACTTAGTGCCGTGGGCTAGATGATGTGGTGGTGTTGGGTCATAGGCTGGACTTGATGATCTCAGAGATCTCTTCCAGCCTCAACAATTCTGTGTGATTCCATGTAAAGAATGTGGCTAAAATTACCAGATATTAAACACAGGCATAACTAAACAATTTGTGCAGCTGACAGGAAAAAACTCACAGCGGTATCACTAGTCATATTCTGGTAACTTGAAAACGCGACTTTAATAGAATCATAGAAAGGTCTAGGCTAGAAGGGACCTTAGAGATCATCTAGTCCAACCTCCCTGTTTTGGGCAGGGACGCCACCTCTCGACTAGACCTGGCAACACATGGGGACCGAGTGGGAATCAAACCCGTGACCTCAGCTTTAGGAGGTGGCAGAAATTTGCATGAAGACTGAACTGCCTATGCTTGGTATCCACTGCATTTCTTAATACAAGCAGCATTAAGACTCAGAGTTTATCTACATAGAAGAGTTACACTGAATTATCTACTCTAGCATTTGTGTATGTCCTTTTCCTCTGCTCCTCAAGGACAATATTTCTATTTTTCTAAACAATTTTTATACAGCTACATTATACGATGTTTGCCCACATGAAGCTTTGACAGGTAACTCACACTGGCAGCCTGGAATAAAATACAGTCCTAACCATACCCATCCTTTCAAAGATTCTTACCGCTAACACTTGCCTGCTGGTGGTGTTTTTAGGTTTCCTGAACACACAAGTAGCTTCACAGCAGGCCTCATGAATGGCATCACTATTAGTGTGAAAGTGCCTACAATTTAATATCAAAGTAGAAACTACATATGTAGTTCACTCACATGCTGCTCTAGGGACTTGATATGCACAAATGAACCCTCCCCTTCCCCTAGCCACTTCTACTTAACTTAAAATTTTCAGAGACAGTGAGGATAGCTAACAGTAGGACATCTCACAAAGAATTTTTTTCACATTACCATCAAGGCAGGGGCGTTGCCACTTAAACCAGTCATTAAAATAAAGGTAAGAAAGGGAGAGGTGACATGCAAACTTGTTCCAAAAAGGGAAAAGGATACAGAAAGTCTTCCATAATTAATGTTCACGTTGCTTGAAATGTTTTTAATTACACCTTGACCAGAAGCTGAAAAGCAATTTTGGGAAAAGAAGCCAGGAAACTTACTCAAGTCCATGATAATGGCATCCAGTTGCTTTTTCAAAAGGCAAACGTCTGAGTTTCCGAGGAGTAAGCTCTGGTGTCAAAAGGAATGTGTTTTCACTGAAAGGAAAAAAAAAACCCCAAAACTACAGATCAATTTTAACTAGTTAAGAGTCAAGATAAATTATACTTCCAGAAGTCAGAAACAAATGCCTCGACACAGAAAGACCAAAACAGTTTAGTCTGCTTTATTAGCTACTATAATGATTTTGGCTTCATACTTCCCTTAGATAGCCAAGATCTCTATGTATTACAAGATACACTCATATAACCGTTATGTACTAAAAAGGAAAGGTTTCACCATCTTACTTTCTCAAAATAATGGGCAGAAATCCAAGCAATCTGGGACAAACTCCCTCAAATTTAGCCTCATTCAGCTATTGCTCGAAACAAATCATTCAAGAGAATCAAAGTATTCTATGCTACAAGGCTTCTCTGGAGGCTTTTGAAAAAAAACCAGGGATTAAAAAACAATCTTTGTAGTGAACAAATTATTCACTTCTTTCCCACACAACTAATTGGAAAGAAAATATTTTACATTATAGCCAAAATCCAAAATCATGAGCACTGATTAACTAACCACTCTGTAGAAGACTCATTGAGTATTTTTTACCTTGCCTAAATTCTCCACTCAGAATACCTTTAGGTTAGTTTCAAAACTCCAGTAAGTGTTTTACAGAAGTCTCCAAAACCCTGCAGAACCTTTCCTTTGCACAAGCCCTCCTACTTCATAACATACAATGAAGTTTAAAAAAGGATCATGGGCTGTATCCAGTAATTCCATTATACATTCTATTACTGCACATTAAGAAGGTCAACAAATACAACTAGTGACTGCAAAGATTGTCTTGCTCGCCTGGCAGCCTATGACAAACTGCACAATCAGTATAGGCTCTGCTTCTACATACACAATCTGACTCTTATAGAGGTTGGCCTTAGCCTGAACAGATGTTCAGATCCTGAAAATTAGTCCATCAATTCCTTGTATCAATATTTCTGCTGAAAAAGCACTGATTAACACACTGACACTTACCAGCACACACAAAGGATAAATACTTGTAAAGCAGTTAGACTAGATAGGCTTCCTTTAAGGAGCACTTTAGCACATAAAAACACAAATAGGAATGCTGGGCCAGCATGACATGAGACAGACACAGTTAAATAGGCTCAGCTATTGTCTTTTTTTACACTTCTGTCTTCCCACTCAGTCTCTTCTCCACTGAGCTATGATTCTATGAAACAAATTAAAGTTCTGCCACAGCAACCTCTGCTTCAGTAGAAATACTCTTTAGGAAGTGGACACATATGGCAGTGGCAGCTTGGAGCACAGCCACGGCAAATTTCTACTGACACGCTTTTGTCCACTAGGTAATTATTTCGTTATTTAAACGCTTAGGGCAGACATCATCATCCCCAGACACTTCAGATTTTGAAAGAACTACAGAGCAAGGGAACTACAGAGCAAGACCAACTGGAGGACCACAGCAGTTGATTTCACCAGCAGGCATGTGACGCGAGGATGTTGTAAATCACAAACATCCAGTTAGGCCATTCTGAGACTCTCTTTCAGTCATTATTCACGTTCCCCCACACCAGTTCTCAATATGGTCTTCAGTGGTTTTAATATGATGGATTTATACCGTTTGGGAATTTGTAGTGGCTGAAGATCACCAACTGGTAGCCCTTCTGGTGTGAAATATTTCAGTAATTCTTTAGCATCAAGCAATGTCAGTGACTCCCGCTGGCTATCTTTATGCCCCAGCAATCGCTCAGACGAATGTGCAAATATGGAAACTCTGAAAAAAAAGGAAAAGAAAAAAAAAGATCATTCTATGATCCTTATTTTTTTCTTTTCAATGTGCTAAAAAAAAATCCAAACAACACTTCTGGTCTGGAACAATTAAACATACTTCTAAAGTAAAATGAACACAGTTTCTCCTTGGAACATTTACATAAGAGTTCACAGTAAAGTATTCAATGCAAATTCTCTATGATTCCCCTGAAGAAAGTAATTTCTTCAAGATTTTAGACCTTAGCTATGAAATACAATATGTGAAGAATATTATTCATCCCCTTTTTCCATTTTTGAACCTGCAGTATCAAAAATTAAGCCCTGTTAAAAAGAGATATACAATACGCAGCAAAGGAATCATAAAGCCAGTACTGCATGCAGATCTTCATTCTACTGGTTTTTATCTTTTTTTAGTGTCCTCAGTCAAGCATAGCAAAGTTATCTCTTTTCTACTGTTAAGCAACATGCTGTACACTGATTCAGGACAAGTAGACGACAACCAGTCCCGAAAACAATGAAGTGAAAATTATACAACTGTGAAAAGGAAAGGTCGCTCAGGGAGTTTTTCAGAAGCTAACTAGAAGAACTTTACCTGTTCGAGAAGTAAAAATCATTAATAAATAATAATAACAACAATAATGAGAAAGCAGAGAACTAATGTGAGAATTTCTGACACACAGAAGTCCAGTCTAGGCCATGGTCAGCGATAGTATTTGAAAGACAGCAATGGGATAGAAGTGACTAACAAAAAGGCAATTGGACACCCGGCTCTAAAGGTCTGTCAGAAAAAACCTTAAGGCCCAGCAAAGATCATTAAGTCTTATATAAGGGAGAGTTAAACTGAAATCATTAGGCTGTATTCAAGTGTCACAAAGGTCTACAGGTTTCATTTTAACAGCACTGAGGGAAAAATAAAACTAAATTTCAATCATAAACCCAATGGTTTCTTTCCTTCAAAATTACTTGAGATCGGATTTGGAAATATGGGTAGATTAGAAACACATTGTACACATGGACAAAAACTGCTGCATTATCTTTATTATTTATGCCCCAAGGCATGTCAGGAGGCAAAAAAACTTTTGTATGTTTTTCTACTATGGCTACTATTTTCAAGCAGTGTGGTTTTGGTAAGTTAGGTTTGGAACTATGGTAGTTTTAGGTAACTTTCAGCTGTGTTTTGTCAATAAAAACCAAAACAACACTATAAATACCAGGAAAGTACACTTCTAGAAACTGACAGAAACTTAGTTTTAGCCTTAAGCAATGTTTCTTCTGAAAGATTATTAATATATTTGAGCACAGTTTACAGAATGGCTATCAACCAATGCAGTCCCCTGGAGTGATTTCCAATGGCCACTGCAAAGAATCAGAGATTACCGGGTTGGAAGGCACCTCAAGGATCACGTAGTCCAACCCTTTGGTTGAAAGAAAATCTCCAGCATTTAACCATTACCTCATTTTTTGTTTGTTTTTTTCAAAGTTTTCCAAATTCTGAAGAACATGTCTTTCTGGCCACTCCAGTGGATTTGGCTCCATTAAATCAGATTCTGCAAGAAATATATGGTGGGTAATGCTTAATAGAAATAAAGAATTTTATTCTTTAAAGAAATAAAGTCCTTTACATATATCCCCTTCTATATATATAAAAGTATATAAATATAAGGAAATCTGCATGGTGCTGTGATCACAAGTCTTTTCTGCATAATTTTTTTTTTGCCACAGAAAAGAAAGGAAATATTTAACATGAGGGCAGTTTCAGTTTGCAAAAAAGTGTAGAAAGCTACTTGTATTTTTTCCTCTTTTGGTAAAAGACTCTCATTTTTTCAGTAAGAAAACACTGACAACAGGTATGAAAATACATCAAGAAGGAATAAGAAGTGTATTTACTAAATAACTTACCCGACATCCCAGTGCATGACTTAGAGTTATTGGCAACCTTCTGTAGAACAGGTTTAGGAAGACTACTGTTGCACAGGTCCAAAAAATATTTTCTCGTAAGTTCTAACAAGTTTTTGAACTCATCAGTAGAAATAATTGGAGGCTGCTCAGTCAATTCCTTTCTTTCTATAAAAGGAAAGAGAAAAAAAGCTACTGCGCCTGCTAAGTAGCAAAGAATAACTGGAGCCAGCTAAAAATCAACAAAACAAAAAAATCCTCACCCCAAAATAATAACACAAGTAAGCTGACGCTTAATATTGTACCTTTAAGCAAGGCATGGTGGTTTATTCCAGAGGCAAGTGAAAGAAACCTGTGAATAGCTGAAATCGCATGTGAATTGTCTTTCTTCAGTCTTTTAATTTCTCTGTATGTGCATTTCTGGGTATATGCACGTTTGAATCGCACAGATACAAAACATCTGGCTTTGCTGAGCCTAAACACGAAAAGCTCTGGTCTGCAGAGCCACCTACCCACATATTTTTACTGCTGGTGCAGAAGCGTCACTCCAATATCACTGACAGCCTGTCCTGGGCATTTGGTCAGAAAATCAAGGGTCAGGTAATTGTGATTATGATTCCGGGTGACTAGCAAATCCTAACCCCTTCTATGCAGTCTTTCTCCTAATGGAAACAGGTGACCCACTCAAACTAAAACACAAGTTTTAAAAAGCTGCCAGCTCAGAGTCAAAGTCGAAAGAAATTTGAGAACTGCAAGTTGGCAGGGTGGGTGGTGGAAGACAAGACTATTAGCTGAAATCTTATTTTCTTTAAGCTGGTATTCTGTTCATGATAATACACTTAAATTATCTTCACAGTATGTCATTTTCAATAATCTAGCCAATCTCTCAGAAGCATTTTTTTAATTTTAATTGAGTCTCTTTGAGCAATGGACTTAGATGGAAAAAAATCAGGACACTCAAATGTACTTCTCTGCAAAGTCATGCAAAGCTACAGAGGATGACCTTTCAGTTATTATTATGAATGATGTATCATGATAAATGTAACAAATCTCCAATGCATACTTCCCTCTGCTGTTTAAGACTTTTGCAGGAAAGAATAAAATGAAAAAACCCTGAAAATCCTAAAATAGATTTCTCATTTTTGTAGAAGGCACATCCAGCAGTAAGGGCTTTTTCTAGGGGGAAAAAAAAGCATACAAAGACAACAAAAAATAAAACCACCAAAGCAAAGAAAAAGTTAACAACCAAAAACTATACTCTAGCATTCAGAGTAGTAGTGTAACAAACACGCACCAACTTTACGTTCAGTGTTCTCTTTTCCTCAATATTTAAAAATCATACAATCATGGCTATACTACAAAAGGTTTCTTCTTAAAGCTGTACTTTTTTTCCTGCAAAGTGATCAACTCACCTCGGTTTTTAAGGTCAGCTGTCACATTCAGTTTGAAATAAAGGCCTTTTAAATATTAGTTGGAGAACTATCAGCTCTCCTCATTACTTACTGAGATATTCCTTCAAGGCAAACACTTGGAGATGAGACAGTTTCTTTTCTCTCTGCACAATCTCTTCTCCACAAAAATGTGGCAGAGACTTGATAAAGTCAGCAATAGGAAAGCCTGTACATATTAGGAGAAATTTATTATTAAGAATCTCTCATAGGACTTCGAAGACACCAAGTAATTACCTCTTCTAAGAAAACATAAACATAGCAGACATACAAATTTCACATTCGAAGGAAATAATCAGGCTTTCAAATATGGCTAATCATTAAAAAAAAAAAATTACAATCAAACACTAGGAGAATAATTTGGAATAGAAATTTAACCAGTATTTTTGAATTTCTGTACAAAACAAATATTACAACAGCACAATTAACATTTAAAGAAAGTAAAAAGATGGCAAGTTTGTTATCAGGAAAGAAAAGTTTTCTCCCAACATATGATCAAGGACTTTCAGTGTTTTGACACAGTACTAATGGGATTTTAATTAGGACAAATGGTAAGCAGTGAGTCATATCACACATGGATAATAAGAAAATAAGTGGGTAAGATGCAGGTCACTGTGCCCTTCTTTGTCAAGAGTTATTGAGAGCAAACACATGAATTAGCAGAGTTATCCAGGACAACTACTCTAATATAAAAGTGTCTACATATATGCTCTTAGCTAGCGAAACAGCGACAATACGAGAGCTCGCTCGTATCCTAACCACTCTGCCGTAATACGGATGTCTGCGAAGTAACTGAAGGCACGATCCTGAAATTCAACTTGCCTACCGGCCTTGTGGTTTTTAATTTAAATCACCAGTGAAATAAGCTTGTCAATAATCGCCTAGAGCTTGGGCACGGGCTGGTCAGTCTTTACACCAACACACTCTTTAACCTTAAAGCTTAAAGTTTGATTTGCATTAAATATTGCCTGGTTGTCCCTGTACACTAAAATATTTACAGCTAATAGCAGTTATAAGAAATGACTGGCTACAGCTTTACATGGTCAACTTAATAAAATAAGGCAGTAGTAAATTACGTGAATGAATAAGTGCTTATTGCATTTTTTATCATTTTGAAAAATATATTGCTGAAAGAATAGATATTCATCAAAATGGAATATTCTTCCTTGTCTTCTTTTTAACACAGATTGGAATGAATAGAAGGAACATATAAATTTTAGTAGCATTTGCCTGCATTCAGATACTCTTAACTAAGTAAGTAATAACTCTTACTTGACTCTGTTTCTTCTGCTCTTGTCTTTAGCCTTCCATTTACTGCAGCAAGAGTGGCTGTACCATTGATCTGACCAGCTGAATGAATCAAGGTTGCTTTACATCCTCCAGAGCCGTTGCCTTGTAGCAAGAAATAGTATCGGCAAGATTCTCCTTTCAGTTCAACTTCTGGAACTTAAAAATCAGGGCATGACAGTGAAACACCCTCAGAAAAACAGCTTTAAAACAAGCTACAATCCACCATCAGAATTCTTTCACTTGCTCTCTTCTCTTCAGTGAGAAATCTTACCTCTTTTCAGGAGACACACTAACTACACGCAACATTCACCTCTTTAAAAGCTACAGGTTGAAGAGCATGCAAAATAAACAAGCTACAGCAGCAAATACGAGTAGAGCTATGCTGCTGGCTTGAACCCAGTGTTACCAGCACCAGAAACGCCTGTGACTGTGGCGAGGGCAGCTTTCTGACGCAGGCGACAAAGTACATCAGGAAACTGTAACCACCAGCTGAAAGTCTCTCATTGGTCTTAGCAAAAGGCAAGCCTTTAACTGGCAACGTTACATCCCTACCATGAAAAAAAGTTAGGCAGTGTGCTACACGTGCAATGAGTAGAGAAGGGTCTGTTCAGCTTGGTAAAAACAGAGCTCTTTGCATATGTGGACTGAAATGATGGTGAGTGTTCACTGGAAGAACATGCGCCCACAGCAGAGAATACCATACACACTCTTCCCAAGTAAGCTGCATTATTGATTAGGAGTTTTACTCATTGCTTTCCACTTAGGCATCGCCTAAGTGGAAGATAAACACATTCTGAACATTGGCATATAGTATGCAGTTCTGAAAATAAGGTAGGACTTGACAGTAACAGTGAAAGGATGGGTTTGCTATCTTTTTACACAGAAAAATCTTATAGCACCTTGGTAGATGTAGAAGGTGAGAGCTTGAATATTTCCTGATGTACTAAGTTTTAAAAGTCAAATCACTTAATTTCATATGATGTTTGCAGTACTCTCTCAATAAGTAACTCAAGATCTTGAAGTTTAGCAGCATTATAAAGTTTTATAATAAAAATATATAAAGTGTTCCAGTGTTTCTTGAAAAGTTTAAGCTGGAGGGGGAAAGGAAGACAGGGGAAATCCCACTAGCTCTAACAAAAAAATCCAAGGAAAGAAGAAAAAAAACCATTCCAGACATTTGTACTGTTGTCCTATTTTCCATTTCCCCAGTAATTTGAAATATTTTTCTTCTCCAGTTTATCTTGGCACCTCAAAGCTGATTCCTCACGGGAAAGCTTTTATTTCTCATTTTTATTTAATCAATATTTGAGAACTACCAGCTCACAGAATTGCACCTTCCCACAGACTGAGGAGATTAAGGATTTGCAAATCCCTAATATAGCCAGATTAGTGGTAGCTACTAAAACTGGTTTTCAACTAGAAAAGCAAATATGTTTAAATGGCCAGGTTTCTCCTCCTATTTAAATTTTGCTCAAGAGGCCTAATAAGAACCTACTGAGTATTACTGGTCACATTATAGTTAATACTTGCACAAACCCCTTCCACTGGAGCACAGGACAAGAAGATCTTGCAGACACTGGGGATGTTGCACTCATCTGACTGCATCAGTAGTATCTCTCCATTACGTCATAAATGCTGCTGCTATCAGCACTACAATCACACCCTCTCTGCTCTGCCACCTCCAAGCACGCAGAGGTTATTTTAAAATGTATATACTGCCAGCATTCACTTCACAGAATTAAGCTTCTTGTCCTGTCATACAGCTCTTCCTAATTCCTCTCAATTTTTTGTCTCTCCCCAAACGTGAAAGAATATCAGCCTGTCAGCCACCCTCATCTGCATCCTTGTTTACAAATGCTACCTTTAATTGTCAACAAAAGTCACTGTTCCTTGGAATCTGCATGAATTATCTATTAGACCACTGTATAAGCAACAAAAATCACATAGGGTGACAGAATCCTACATCATATCATGTCCTAGATAAGTACTTTGAGCACTGGGCTATCAGCAAACTTCTCATAGCCTGATGTTTTCACATCCCTACAAGACTCACAGTTACGACTTGTGCAGTGCCTCCACTTAAAGGGCATACACAGAATCACAGAATGTGTTGGGCTGGAAGGGACCTTTAAAGGTCATCTAGTCCAATATCCCTGCAGGAAGCAGGAACACCTTTAACTAGGTCAGGCTGCTCAGAGCCCCATCAAGCCTGACCCTGGATGCCTCCAGGGACAGGGCCTCCACCACCTCTCTGTGCAACCCGCTCCAGTGTCTCATCACCCTCACTGTGAAGAGCTTCTCCCTAAAGCATAAGCTAAACCCAGCCTGCTCTAGTTTAAAACTGCCGCCCCTCGTTCTATCGCTACACGCCCTTGTAAACAGCCCCGACCCAGCTTTCCTGTAGCTCCCTTCAGGTACTGGAAGTCCACTATAAGGTCTCCCCCGACGCTTCTCTTCTCCAGGCTGAACAGCCTCCACTCTCTCAGCCTGTCCTTGTAGGAGAGATGCTCCAGACTTTTGATCATTTTTATGGCCCTCCTCTGGACCTGCTCCAACAGGTCCATACTGGCTGACTGAGAACCCTGACCCAATCTTGATCTGCACGATTCTGTTCTTCCCCTTTCTGAACTGAATTTCTGTGCACCGGCACTCTGCCCGAGAGGGGCCAGCTGCCATCAGTACAGTCCCATAAGGAAGGAGCACACTCTCAATCCCCAGTTAAGCACACCGACTCTCAGGTGAATGGAGCCATCCAGCATTTCCTGATCTTGTGTATTTTCCAGGAAGGGGCTGAAATTAAATAAAAGTGCATGGAGAACCTCTGGGAATACTTAAGAAAGAAGGGAAGCACCTAGAGTGAAGCACACTGGACTTCAATCTGCAGAAGCAAACCCCTTTGCCCATGGATTGTACACCCACCTTAGAAAGATGTGTGGAAGCTGGGTTTTAGCTGACAGATAGGACACAGAAATGGTTTAAGAGAGCTGCACTGTTTCCCTAAGGCTTGTCATGATGTTATTATCCATTTTCTACAACTCTGCATACAGGAACTCACATTCACCAAAACACTTTGTGTCAGCGAAGATTACAATCACTGACTTAATTTCATTGAAGAAAAAAAAAGGGCATCCCAAATTTACAAAAAACCACCACATAAATACATATACAGATATAAATACATACATAGTTATAACCACAACAAAATATACCTACAGTCATCTTCCTTTTACCTACCAGTAATGACCTTGGGTTTCCTAGCCATATATTCCTTCCATTTCTTGGTACTCAGCTGGGCAGGGGATGGGATCACTACGCTGCTTACATTACATGGCAAGGTAAATAAAGCTCCCACCTAAATAACAAGTGGATATACGATACATGTAATATTACCGAAACTTGGTTCACATTTCATTCTTGATGAAATAATTGCCATTATTTCAAATGTATTTCAACTGCAGAAAAGCATCTTTACTTAACACTTCTGTCATTCACATCAATTGAAATGGAACAGCATTTGGCACAGAAGGTATAAAAATTTTGCTTATTTTTTGATCCAGTTGAGAGATCATTAACTGATGAATTTCTATTTTATGAATAAAAAGCTATTTGTTACCTATTACAAATCCTTCAATAATCTAGGTAAAATCACTTCCGTAAAGTATCGGAGAATTCAAAGATACAGTTGTCAGCAACTCGGTATTCCTTTGAAAAACGTGAGGGTGTTCTTTTCCTCCTTACATATTATCTTTCTCAATTAATCAGATTCTGGACTATGTTTATGCCTGTACATATATTTCAGACCAAGAAGCATTAATAGAAATAATGTGTCAAGTATTGGAATACGCAAGAAAAACAACAGCACTTTCTTTTACTAGTAGGAAAGTCTACAAATGCATAATATTCCCAGTAGTAGACTGAAAAAAAATCTCTACAAGAAACTATTATCTTGAGAACAATAATCAATTCAACATTCTAAAGAGGAGCCTGAGAATGTGTTTTAACTGTTTTGGCTTTTTCTTTAAAGGAACTAGTAGAAATGCAGGCCCTTAGATTTCAAAAGATATTTGACCAAATGTTCAGTATCCTCATGCAGAATGGAAATTACCCAGGATTTTTACCAATATAAAGTTATTCCAAAAGATATTTTTGGTACAGCACTAGAAAAAGGACTGCTTTCTCTTCTGGCTAAGTATAATGGAGCATGGAGTGACAGAGTAGGAAAAAAATCTAAATAACACACTGAAGAAGAAACATACAGTCTGATCATGCAATACACTCGCCACAGGAAATAAAGATCATAAGTTATTCATTATAACTGTATCAGCATTTTCACACTGCAAGTTCTGTTTTGATTTTATAAACACTAAAAAAACCTTTTGCTAAACAAGCATGCATCACCTTAGACATTCAGAGCTTCAAACTAATCCTGTGACTGTGAATAATCACACTACCATTCCAAGAACGATGGGGGTAAAAAAAAAAAAGTAGGCTTTTAAATGTTTCAAGAACTCATTTGATCCAAAATCAGAACGGAAAGGCACAATATTCACATGCAAAATGAAAAAGCTTACCACTTTTGACTAGCACGAAGACCTGCCTTTTGCTAAAAGAACTGAATTAAAATAGCATAGAAATTATGTGTCAGGATAGCATTTGAAGTTACCAAATGTTTTACGAGATTGAAAACTAGCAAAGTTAAAGAGAAAAATGTTCAGTGGGCTTACACATTGTCAGGACCCGTATAGCATGCACCTTTAAAAACCAAATTTCCTTTAGAACTACATAAGCAAGGATTTTATCCAGAGATTAGGTTTAAAAGCATTATTCTTGTATCTTTATAAACAATATGTCTATGTTCTTTTTTCTGCTGTATCTAAATAAGTTTTTACCTGCCCAGAGAGAGAAGAAATCTGGTCCAAAAGCAGTGTAGATGTCTCCTTGGAACTGTTTCTTGCAAGGCTCCTGAACAGAACGGGTTAAGGAACTATATGTATCTCCATTTTACAAATCATGTTGCCATCATATTTCAAATAAGGACTGCAAGTGTCTAATTTTGATATTCCAGTACCACAAAATATACAAAACTCATGTCCCCAGGCAAAGTGGTACACTTGGAAATGCTATATGACAAGATGCACCACTGACACCTTTAACACAGGCAGACATAAACAAATATATAAATATTCCAAACCCCTATATAGCCTACCCTATTATTGTTACATCAAGACTAGTACCAGAAGTACATAAATTTAAACTCAAAAGGAATATACCTCGAGGTCTCTGCAGCATATACAACTCAAGAAAAAACTCTTTTGCTCCACCTTGCCACAGATTTTGCACCTACACAAGAAAATACATGATTTTTGGAAAAACATTTCTACATGGTGAAGCATACAGCAGTAAATATTCTCTATTCTTTCTCCACAAATAGGATAACATCAACAGACAAAGTATATGTGCAGTAATATAAAAAATAGCTGGTTATTGTTAGTGTAATTGAAACGTCAACATTAAAAACCCACTTGTGAAGGATCACGAAGTCTATTTTGGCAGGGTAGAATGGCAGGAACCCTTGCCAATCCTCATGTGTTGTTTGCATAGGTAGATCCTCATTGTTTTCTTTCTGCTATAGACCATTACCAGTATTAGTTTAGACCCTTAAAGAAAAGGATACAGCTCAAATTCCAGATCAGATACAAAAAATGAAGGTAGATCAGAGATCACCACCATCTGTAAAAACTCTAGTGCGGGACCATAGTAATGAAAAACCTGAAAAGAGATCAAATTAAAAAAAATAGTAATTTGTAATACTATATATGATATTATCTCAGTACAAATTCCTCAAGTGCTTTGCTACAGTCATTTGCTTTATAAGCACATCTTAAAGGGATATAAAGGAATATAAAGAAAAAAACATTTCACAATACCATATTAAACATAAATATATAAAAAACAAGGTATTTAATTCTGTTTAACAAAATTTACTTTCTAGAACGTGAATCACATGCATCAAATAGGTTGTAACTCTTATCCAAAATAAAAAAAAAAGATCTACCAGGAACAGACAAAATGTATATATTTTAACCACGAAAATAATGATATCTTAACGGATACCTGTTTTCATAAACACTCCTTTTTGTTTTCATCAATAAATTCTGGAGTTCCCACCAAATATTTAATTTCAGTGGAAAACATGAAATAGCATCAATAATTGAAAAAAAACCCCACAGACTTTTAAAAATTAAGTAGAAAAGGTTTAGATAAATACAGAATTCATAAATTACATATTTGGAGTATTAAGACTAAACAAAGTCTCAATTTCTACTTGAAAAAAATATAGCATTGCATTTGTAATACAAAACAGTTGAAATTTTAAGGATCTGTTTCGAGAATACACATGAACAAAAGAAGTATTCCTCAGTATTATGCAATCATTACTTCTACGTCTAATTTTAAATTTTGGCTAAGGTTTGCCCCATTACTAATTTTCTCAGTCAAGTGAAATAGATGAATTCTAGTAGCTCAGAAAAAGATCAAGAGAAATACTTGCCTCTGGCAAGGCATCAGTATTCCTCAATTGATGCTCTTTTTTAACAGCAAAGCAAGAATTTAAATGTGAATTGCTGAATGTCTTTGCTGAAGTGCTCTTCATACAAAACGCTGGAAAGCTTACTTCTGATCCAAACTGGGGGAGGAAAAAAAAAAAAGACAATAAACATGATGAGAGAGAAAAATTATTTCTCCTCAGCGAGTTACACATGTTACTATTTTTAATAACTAGTATTATATTTGTTTCCAGTAAACCTGTAAAACTACATAAAAATTAGACATAGATAATCAACTGCTATATCCAAACCCAAGCGTATAAGTCTTTCACAACCACAAAGTTATCAGCCTTTGCAGAAACATTAGACGTGCCAGCAACAATGACTTACAGAGTCACATGATCGTAATTTCTGACAGATATGAAACAACTTAATTTTCAACAAGAAGTTCTAAGCCAAAAATGTCAGAGGATAGTATGTGGATTTCTCAAATTCAAATCTTGACGCATTGATCTCATTTAGCCTTCGATCATGCTAAAAAGCAATTATTCCCCCACCCACCCCGCTACATTGGACATTACCTCTTTGAATCACATTGCCAAAACCAAATTTGATTTAAAGGATGTACACAGATGCTTTAAATAACTGCAAGTGAAAAAAAAATATTTTACCTTTCTTTCACATATCTGAATATTTCCTCTCCAGACTTCTTTTAAATCAATGATATTCATGAAATTATCTGAAGATACAAAATTTGCTGATAGGTAGACTGCAATCTTTTGCCAACTACTGTAAAAATAAGGAAGAATTTATCTTACCGGATTTAGTATTACAAATTAACATGCTGTGCAATTTGACTGAATTTATCCATTTCCTCTTACCACCAAACAGTCTTGGGTACGCTAAGGCAGACATATATCATTTTATATTCCACAGAGTAAAAAAATATTACAGAATTGCCGGTTTGGGCTCTGTAAAGGAAGTTGTTCATATGCTCCATGAACATGACAGCAAAGAACTTTGTCAGGCATCAACTAAGACCGGGAGCAGCAAGCTGCAGGCATCCCAAGATAAAGGTTGAGTGATAGAAACTGGAGCAAAGCCAGGTCACCATCCCTGGGGCTATCACTGGCCCATCTTAGACGCCTTGTAGCCAGCCTTCTAAGTAGAGATATGACTGCAGCACAAGTATTACCCAAATTCAACAACAGCAGCAGAGTTATGGATTCATTTTACAAAAACTGGAAAACTACAATCAATGAAATCAGGTAGTAGAGTACAACTTCAAAACTTTATATGCGCACTGGAAAGAAAAGAGAAAATTTCAGAAATAGGAACTTTAGAGGACTTGCCTGCCCCTCTGGTTAGGACATCCATTTACAATAAGTCAGAATGAGTAATTCCTTCCCTCAAACAATAATGGAAGACAAATCTATGCACTTTCAAAGCATACACGGAAAGTGCTCAAGACACTTTCTATTTTAAACCACCGACATATACTAATGTGAAACAAGCATGACCTTGTTTCTGGACCTGAAAGCAAAGACGTACGTACCCTTTGGAGTCATTTGCTGCGATGGTGATTTGCGCAGAGTGCCATTCTCGCAGGTGCTTCAGGGCACCGATGGCAGGTAAGCAGTCCTTTAACTTGGGTCCATCTCGTTCAACAGCCTGCAGTATTACATCAACCATTGCTCTGCCTGTAAAAAGTTACACGTGTCTCAAAGTGCCATTATTCAGTAAATGATTCCGTCATTTAAAGAGAGAAAAGCACTTGCCACTAACTGTGCAAACATAGGCTTAAAGATCGACTTCAAGTAATTTCAGCAAGATTTAAAACATTTTTTGGCTATTTTAGCTCATCTCTTGCTGCTTCTCTCGGATTAACACAAAATATTTTGCCATTCGCGCAGTTAAAGTGGCTCTATACCTTTCTCCTCTCACCTAGCACCGTAACTGACAAACCAGAGTTGTCTCGAGTACAACTAGACTGCAGTTTCCCTCCTTTTAACAGTTGTGTCCAGCTCCTTTGCTATCCCAAAATCAACTACTGCAGCATTATGTAACCCTAACGTACAAGATGATGTGTGTCTCCAGTTTACAAAACGTGAATCCAATAGTTCTGCTCTATGTTTCCCTCACAATTTCTTTGCTCCCACCCACAAGCAACCAGCTGGCAAATCAGATGTAAGCCTGATGCCAACATCTCCCATTTTTTCTTGTAAAAAATTCCTGTGCTTGCACGTTGAATTTCGTACTGTTTACTGTCTGCTACTACTTTAGTGCCATTTCAAATAGAAAAAAACTAATAATACTTTAAACTCTACTGAAATACTGCCTTCCAAAGAAACAAGCAGCAAACTACTCTGTAAGCCGATCTGCAACACCTTAAACTGCTTTCAAGAGCTGCAGACAAGTTAACTCAACTAACAAACATCCGCTGAATTTTTCCCTTTAACTATGGTTTTACCAGCTGAGTTTTTAGAGTAATAACTAACAAGGTAAACTCAAATGAGATTGCTTCTTTAATAGAGATTACCTGGGGCAGGCAGTTTATCAGCTAACTGATGCAGACTTTCTGCAGCTTCATCATAGATACTGAAAATTAAGAGCAACGTGGTTGGAAATGAAATATGAACAAAGACATTTAGAAACAAAAAGTTACAACTAATGAATAATACTAGAGGTATGTATCTTATATCCTCAGAATTCTGCATAAACATGCTTAGGCAAGGAGGTATATACTTATCTCCCCTTTCACTTGGGCAGAAGTAGGCTACATGACTTGAAAACAATCTGAAGTAAGAATGAAATCAGGATTCAAGACAGATTAGTAAGAAAATTCTTTTTGTATATATACCTGTCAGTTGTTAGGAAACTGTTCACTTATTCTATAAAAACTATTCTTAGCTAAAAAAAAATAAAGCTATGTGAAACAAAATAGAATTATTTTCAGCACCCATAGGGGATTGTTCATAGTTAACTGTTGCTTTGGTAAGAATGTTCACTTGTTAAATTTTCTTGATACCCTTAGGTTATTACTGTTAAATGTCAGATCACTATAATTCCAATAAAAATAATAATATGCATACTCAGTCATGGACAGGGACTCTCTACTGTTATTGTCATCTTCCTCAAAATTTTGTATGGCTCCCAGGCATTCATCAATATTTGTTTGGAGAGAGTCTTCATTTTTCTGTGTGTCAAAATTTATTTCCTCCCAGTCAGAACTGCAGAACTAATCAAGCAAAAAGAATTAATTAAGCAAGAAGAACTCTGAACATCACAGTTTTAACTTGCACTAGAGAGGGGCTGAAAAAAAAATGTTTTACCTGATAATAACCGCATAGAATATGACTCGCAAAATACCACTTCTTTCCACCTGGAATACCAGCTACTGAACATGCTGCAAAGAGATAAAAAAATTATTTAAAATATTCAACTCAGTACAATCTATTTGTCCTACTATAACGAACATCACTGTTGAAAGACTCCATGCCACTTATTTAATGTGCCACAATGACTCAAATTCTACTTTCCTTTGGCATTATAATTAAGTTCTAAATATATTAAGGTGCAGGTAAGTGTGTTGGCAAATCTATATTACTGTTAATAAGAAATCCTTTGACCTCTTCTCCATCCCAGGAAACATTGTTTTGCATTTGCAGAAGTGGTATCATCCCTGAACTATATTACAATTTCCTAAACATGGTTTACCCAGTTCACAAAATGAGATGTTCTCTCAACGTACCTATACAATAGAAAGCATTGAGGTTGAAAATATTTTTACATTCCCATTTTGATTAATTTTAACATCTTACGGCGGCTCCCTCACATGAATCATAATTTTATGACAGCTGTGACAAGATAAGCCTTAACAGCTCAACACTAGATACCCAAACCATGTAAAGAGCTAAGAAAGCATTTTCTTACCAAAAAAACACCAAACGTCCAACCCCTAAAAATACTAAAGCAGATCTTCAGAAATCTATTTCAAGATTGCAAAATGACTTAATAAATATATATGGATTAAGATTCTGAACTGACACCCAATGGACAACTATTATTTCCATTTATAAAGTTAGAAGACGTGAAAGAAGTAAAGACGCTTCTCACATCAAGCTGCTCCCTGACATGAGAAACAAACCCCAAGCCCTTTCCAGCTCTTCCATACTAAACTGGATTAAAATCTGTCAACCTTTCAAAGCTCTTCTTTTTCATTTATTGTGTTCAATCTATTTAATCACCTCCTAACACCTCAGCTGCCAAAATTACCTCAGTTCTCCACCGAAACAGCAGCAGCAACGCCTTGCTGTCCATTACTGTATTTACCTGGGAACATGCCCACATCTGCATTCATAGATGAGTTACATCTTTCTTTCAGGAACTGATAAATGGTTGCAGCAGTTCCAGCTGAAAAAGAAAAAAAGGGTTTTTCTTAAACATACAGTTTACAGATTCATAGAATCATCATAGGTTTGTCACAGGATGTGCTGGGCTGGAAGGGACCTTGCAGAAGGTAAGTCTTGCTTCCTTACAAACACAGGACAAAGTTAGGTTTAATATCGCAAGTTGAGTATCACAATAAGACACGAAATCCCCTGCATTTCACAGAATTTTTTAGAGGGGATGGAAGGGGCCTACAGAGGTCATCTGGTCCAACCACGCCGCGAGCAGGGACACCCTGAACTGGATCAGGTTGCTCAGAGCCTGTCCAGCCTCACCCTCGGAGGGGTTAAGTCATTAACGCTTTTAGTCTGGAGAGGGGAAGGAAAAACAAAAGAAAAAAAAAAAAGCAGGTGTGGGAATGTAAGGACGCAGAACAGCCCGCGCGGGGCAGATGCAGAGCTAAGGCAGAGCCCTGCCCAGCCCGGCCCCCGGGCCC